CGAGAAACCCTTTTACTGCTTACAAGCAGTCGTCCACTCCTGCTTGCCCCTGTCTCTCTCGACCTGGTTGCAAGAAGGGCCCCACCCAACCTCTCCCATCCAGATACGCCCTCGCTCCCCCTTGTAATTACCTATTATTGATATGGAGATGGACTAAGGCCAGACGAGAGATTCCGCAAATATTGCAATTGTACCTACACTGAGTCCTTGTAATAGGTTACAGTTAGTATCTGCTGGAATTTTATCCCTTCCAGGTTTGGAAACTCTCTTAGTGGATAATTCAACAATTAAAAGTTAAAATCCGTATTACATTCACTATTACACTCTAAGTGGCGAACATAACTGGATCATCTGGGCCTCATCCATTTTGCCTGGCCTTTTCCTCAGATTCCTTATTAGTGATAAGTTCTTGTAAAACCTACCAATTGTTATTTTAGAGCAAGGCTATCCAGACTTCCTTGTTGGTTTTATATATATATATAATTTTTTTATGTACTGTCTTGCAGCAGATTAGTAAAATTTATCTGATCTAATAATTTGAGCCAGTCTTTTACCATCTTTCTCATAAAGTGTCTGCACCTTTCCATAACTGTCTAATCGTTCAATTGTGTAATTTCTTATGGGGAGCTGTTCATGTTTTCATGTTTTATTAGTTCTTTTATATGGGCTGTTTCGTGTTATGATTCCACTTGATGGAGCCAATTCATCAACCATATTCTTTACCTACAGTGGTTCCTAGATTACTTTGCCTTTAACATCATTAGTGGTAGGGACACTTCACCCACGGGTGCTATCTTCAGCTCTTTCCAGCAGCTCTGTTTCGCTCCTAGATGGCCGGTAGGTTTCCACAGCCCTCATATCACATCTTTCATCTGATCATTTGTTCTGGTTTGGAGAAAGAGGCGCTGGTTGTATTTTAATTTTTAATTTTAGTTTAATTTTCGATTCTCAGTATCAGATTTTTCTTTTGACCAAATCCCTCCTGTTTTGTGTATGATGCTCATCTTTTCTTCCGGTGTTTCTTATTACGGACGGCCTTGTCATTCACACAACCACAGTCCATTTTCATCTGAAACTACTCCTTACCAGCCTCATGTTTTATGTACTATATTCTTCTCTCTGGTGAGTCCCTTTCATTTTCCTGTAAGATCTTGTGTTTTGCCGGGACAGACATTTGCCCCCCATTTGTGATAATAACGACAATCCCCTGCATGGGGGACTGACATCGTTCAAGCCCCCTGCACACTCACTGTTTCCCAACCCCATTCTCACAGGGCCTGACACTACTGTACTGGGAGGTTTATAGAGAGACATGGTTCCCAAACTGGACTGTGGTTTCCAGAGAAATCAGAATCACCCATGTGCTTGCTTAAAAATGCAGGTTCCTGGGCCCCACCCAGCCCAACTGAATTCTAATCTCTGGAATGGTGCCTATAGTTTGCATTTTAATAATCTCTCCAGGTGGTGTCTATGCACCCTAAAACTGAACTGCTAGAGAAGAAAGCCTCTGTGACGGGCACAGTGTCCTGGCCTGAGAGTGGAGGGGGCTGGTCTGAAGCAGGGATAACCTACAAAGTTTCTCCAGACCCTGTTGCTTCCAGCATATTATCTCTGCAGAAGAAATGGAGACTGAAAGTCTCCTTCCAAGGATCACTGCCCTTAGGTGTGACACCTGTGTCTCAGAGCTCCTCTCTGGAACTTAACCGTGGTTCCCATTAACGGTGTCCCTGACTGGGAACACCATAATTGTTTGAGGTGCACCATAAATGTTTGAGAGCAGCTGTTTGAAGGGGCCATAGCAGTGGCTCACCACATTCACATGTCAATTCAGAGAACCAGTGGAGTCATGCAGCCCCACCAGGCTTGCATTGAGGTACCATTTCATCATGGTACCTCATCTCACTTCCCAGGCAGAATGAGAGGACTGGCTCTCTGAGGAAGGGAAAGTATTTGACTTGTCCCTCTCTATACCTGCAAGGTGGAGGGACCTCCAACCATGGTACCCAGTGCATCAGGGTATGGTGATTGTCTTAACGTTGCTGAGACCACCTGTCACTGCCAGGGTCTGGGGAAAGGAGAAGGTAGGTGCAGAGCAAAGAAAACCAGTGCTAGGATATGGCAAAGAGTAGCAGACTTCGCTGCCTGGTGGGTGATGAGGATAAGGGGACATCCTGAGAGTTGACTGGGCACTGAGGAGGTAGTGGGATTGAAGTTCCCACACCATTAACCAAAGGCTGCAAAGTAGACTTCTTGGAACAGGAGCCAAGGAAAGGGGAGAAATGGGTCCAGCCTACGCCCCATCTCTCAGGGCAGGGACTTGTGACAAAACAGTAGCATTTGAGTGCCTGCTAAGCAAAGGAACCAATGGAGGGTTCATATTAAAGAGACAGAGGGAACCAAGAAAAAGGGGGCCTCAGCCTCCCCTGCACTTATTTGGACCTATCCAGAAATGGGGGGTCCAAGAGTCCTTGCCACACCCCAAGCCAAGACTCTGGACCCACCTGCCAGCCTGCCCCAGAGGGTTACATGGGGAGGGGTGCTGACTGAATGTGAATTGCAGTTTAAAATCAATAGGACTGAGTCTGAACTGAAATAACAGTTTTTATAACTGCAAAGTTATAGAATTAGACTGTGATATTATCACTGGAGGCAGCTTCCCAGAGGGCAAGGAAGGGCTGGTCAGAGCGCAGCTGGTAACACCATCAGACACAGCAGGCACTTAAAAAGACGCCGTTGAAGAAAACCTGAACATGGGCTAAGCAGGCTCCTCGGGAAATCCTTTCCCTGTAAGGCGGAATAATGGCCTCTAAGATGTCTGATGACTGCTTGGGCACTGAGGTAGGGCAAGGAAGTTTCAAGAGCCCTAAGAATGAGCCCCAAACCTGGAGGTGTGTGCCATCCAGTAGGGGCAACACTTGAACACAGAACTGGGGCTGAAAGGTGAGCTTGCAAGGGCCCTAGGAGGGTCTGAAGTTTGGAGGGATGGTAACTGGCCCACCTGAAAGCATCCTACAGCTCTTTCCCACACAACCTCCACAAAGGCTCTGAGGAGTCAGTGAAGTACCAGCTTCTGGGAAGAAGGTTTGAACCTGAGAAGCAGCCAAATCATGAGGTGCAGACAGCATGGGGTGTTGTGTGAAGATGCAGCTTCACTTGCACCCATGGGAACTCAACAAATGGAACCTAAAACTCTAAGCAATAGGAAACCTGCAACCATGGGCTCAGATGAGGCACCACCTAGCCTGGGTGTGATGACAGCAGCCCAGGATGCTGCAAAGACGGGCCAGAGCGGCGGCTCTAAGCTGGGCAGAGAAACCAGAGAGGGGAACCCATTTTACTGGGTGTATGCTACACACCTGGAACCCCACAGCCCAAAACTAACCTTCATATCCAGGTACAACTGCATCAAATTTGGTTTCCAAACTGAAGTTTGATTCTGATTCTTTAGGTGAAATGCAGATAATAGCCACATATACCTTAGTGGGCTGTCTGGATGTCTAAGGGAGATAATACAGTCAGTTCTGCTAGAAAACTTATTTTGAAAATGGGTATTTGGTTAAATGCAATTGATATATTAGGGAGAAATTTGAGTGTAGTACAAATTGCAGATTTGATTATGCAACTCATCCATGAGAAATACTAGATGACTCAGAAAACCACACACACACCTACCTCAAGTATCTGCCAGCTACCTCAGCATACAAGTGTTATGAGACACACCCGTCCCATCTGGTGTTAACCACTGTCCCTCCAATTTCAGAAAACATCTCATTCCACCTCTTCACAATAACACAGGCAGCATCTCTTCCAGCTCTGCTTCCACAACCCAACGTCAAGTCTATTTCCAAGTACAATGTCATTTTTATTATATTTAGTATTTCTTAATCCTTTAACCTGTGTAAAACTGTGCTACCATTTTCACTGAGTTCCTATCTTATTTTTATGTGTCGCAGATAAGATTGTTGTGTGTTATGTCCCTAGCCCTATTTTTCCCATAAGCCCTGTGGTTGCACAACTCTGCATAGTGTTGTGATGGCATTAGAGAAGAACTGACAGTGTAAGTACAACACTTAGCTCATGGTAAGCATTTGATACATATCAGCTGCTGGTAGTGTCACAATGGTAGTAACAATAGAACCTCTGGGGCTTGAATAACACCTGTCTTTTTTTCAAAGCTTTTTCCCAATTATGAATTCACTTTTATCCTCATGCTTTGCATGAAGATTATTTCTCTGATTAATCAAAGAAAATGCAAATGCAGAGAGGTAATTTGCCCAAGATCACACAACCAAGTTCCAGCCGATAAAGGCCTGTTCCTTGTCTTCGAATTTCCTAAGAAAAAATATTTAAAGATATTACTTCTAAACCTATCTACAAATGTTGTAATGTAAAATGTACAAAAAATCATGGCCATTTGGGAGTCACTGGCAGATAGGAGAGAGGACATTTAATCATGACAGAATCCTTGAAGAGGTGAATTGGGAATTTGAAAAGTAGGCAGAAGGAAGAAAAAATCTAGACAGATAAAAATGGAGTGAAAAAAATGGGAGACAAGTCAGGGGCAACTAGCAGGGGTATTAAACTCATGCTTAGAGGGGCCAAGCAAATAAAGCAATGGGTAAAATGCTCCAGGTGTAAACAGTAGGGAATGGTGGGGATTAGGGTGCACTCAGGTCTCACCAGATGGGTAGTTTCTAGTGAGCGCTGACCAGTTTGTGCTACTCCTAAGGAGTACACCCAGCATCTGATTTTTAAGAGAAGCAGAAAAATTCATATGTGTGTGTAATTTCTACGGGTCTTTTGTTTTCGTTTTAACTGAGGTCAGTTTTTTAAACAATGGCAACTAATTCAAAAATTTTAAAACACTTTGAGGCCAAAGTAACACATCTTCAGGCCAGATATGCCCCCATGGGCTGCAGATTCAACCTCTGTTGAACAGAAGGCAAGATGGTGCTCAGAACTGGGGCCCCAAGCAAAGAAGTCTGAACACTGATGGACACAAAATATGTTATTTATTGTCAATTTCTGCAAAGACACATTAAGCAACAAAATATACATTTGTCAACCTTTTAGAATTTGTTTTATATATTAACAAATACAATGTGCTACCATAGCAATAAATTAAATGTACACTATTTACATTACATAGGCAGTCAGGGTCTACGAATCACCTCCTCGCTAAGAGGAAAGAAACAAAAGTCATCATCACATGATCATTTCCAAACTACACGTCATATAGGTTCTATCACACAAAGGACTCTCTTCACACTTAAACGTCAGCACTCCCTGCACTGGAGTGTGCAAGGGTGACTCCCATGATGGGGAGAGCTGGCATACATGCTAAGGAACAGGAATGGGGGACTGACCCTTCCAACTGGAAATGTCACAAAATCAGAGGCAATGCCCTTTAATCTCCAGCCTTCCGGCCAAACACCCTCTCTTCCAGGCTGGTAAGGCACAGGACACAGCCACTGCCCCAACAGCCTCTATACAAGCAGAGCTCGGCTGTCCTTGGCCCAAGCGGGGGTTGTCTCCTTCCTCCCAAGGGGCACACAGCCCAGAAAGGAAGGAGACACAGGTTGGGTTGGGCAAGGGGCTGGTGATAAATCAAGTATCAGAGCTTGTAGAAGAATACCCCAACCAGCCCCCGTAGCAGGAACAGCCTTGGCCAGTTCCACCCACCCACCCTCGCCTTTGAGCAAGGGGGAAGCCAGAGGCTGGGGGAGGAGCCATGGGGTGCCAAGCATGGCTGATGGGCCAGGTTCCTGCCAGCCAGCCACCTGAAGCCATACGATCTACCTGACGCCTGACCATTCCTCCACAACAGACCTGTCTCTACCGACTCAGACTGAACGAAGAAGGTAGTATTTGCATTGGCACCTTAAACAGTCTGGGTAAGAAAATGAAAGAGGCTCTTGTCCCACCTTGTCACTTGAGCCTAGGTTTTATGAGCCACCTTTGTTTAAGGATCAAGGAGAATCAGAGGGTTTTCTTTTACCACTGTTCTTCTTTAGAAGGGAAACTAAGGGTTGGTTAACTGCATCTCTGCCCTGACCTCCAACCCAATTATAGACAGGAGTTTAAAAACTCAGATCACTGAGAAACAGGAAAGGAATCTCTTTCCCTCCTCCTTTTCTTTGCTCAAGCTGCAGCCAAAATCCCAGGGCCCTCACTGAAAAGTCCTGGAGAATATCCTTTTGGTTAGAAGCATGGAGGCCAAGGTCCCCAGCACCCTTGACCACCAGCACCTCCCAGTCAGGTCCAAGGCACCAGCTAACTGGCTTCTCCAAACTCAGGGGCCCAGGAAATGCAGCCACTTGTTCAACCGAGCATGCAGGTGGTGCCAAAGGAAGGGCCCTGGGTTGTGGGTTCTAATCCCTGCTTTGCTACTAGCTGGTGGCGTGACCTCAAGCGAGTTATTTCCCCCCACTGGGGCTAAGGTTTCTCATCTAGATGATGACCAGGTGGGTACTAAAAAGGGCCCTAGAGACTTGGACATTGAGATGAAGCTGACAAGGCTGAACTATAGAATATTTTTTAAGAAACACCATTTTCCATTCATTGGTATTGACAGAAACTCTAGCTATGACCTTTTACCTCAAGCTCCTGAATCTGTTAAGCGTAAATCAAGCAGAGGCATATGTGTGCCCCAGAATGCCTGACAAGTATAATTTTTTCCATGAGTTAGGCAGGTCCCAGAGGCAGAGACATGTCCCAGAAACACTTCTCCTGAGTTCAGGAGACCCCAAGAGGAATGCCTCAAACATCAGCATGAGCACCATCAGGATGAGTCTAGTCCCAAGGACCAATGAGGCTTGAGCAAAATTTTGGGCCCCAAGACCAGGCGCAGCTAAAAAAGGAAAGACGTTTGGGGTCAGAGGTGATGCACAGGGCGTGTGGGGCAAGCAGCCTGCAGGCAGAGGAGGCTGCCCAGTCCTGGTTTCTCCCTCCCCATCAGCCCTGGGACCTCAGAGGGGCTGGCCATGTACACTCTGGACACCGCAGGATGGACTTTCTAGAGATGGTAAGACAAGACCCACATGGAGGGACATTTCAGATCCTGCCCAGAGCATCCCCACTAGCAAACACAAGGGACAGACCACTTCTCAGGTCTGCCTCTTAGAGGACATAGTTTCTCCATTTCTCTGGACACAGCCAGCCATCCTGGGCACTGGCTAATTTCAGGCAGGGTCCAAGCCCTCCCAGGAGGTAGGGGCTGCAGGGCAGGCAGCCAGAGCAGCAGGGGAAGGTGGTATGAGGGTCCCTAGTAGAACTGAGTGGGGACAATCTGGAAACCCCAGAGGAGCCCCAGACTACGACACAAGACAGCACAGCCACCAAGCAGCTGTAAATACCAGCAACCCGGAGAAGTCATCCAGAACTCTGGAAGAGTTTTTAAAGAGCTGCAGTTTGACCTTTCAAGTTCAGGAACCCAGCCAACAGAATGCTGCTGGAATCCGCGGGGCCTCCTTCCAGCAGTGGCCGCCATTATGGTGATTTTTAGTAAAAGCTAAACAGACATTTGTTGACCTTCTAGCTAGAATAAATTTTACCAGACTAGTATTTAAATAAATACATTTCCCAAATATTGTGATGGGAGAGGTCCACCCCAACTGCAGTGTCTAGGTGAGTGGGGGACAAAGGGTCAAGGGCTTTGCTCCCATGGCAAAAGCAGTGGGGAAACTGTCACATCGGTCAAAACCAGTGTGATGTTTACATGTCTTGACTTAGGAAGAGGCCTGGATCCCAGTGCAAATAAAGCATTTGATTGGAAATCTTGTCATCTCCTCCTTAAAGCAGGAGCCCAGCCTGCGTCACTGGGCAGCCCTGTGTCACAGGGGCCCACAAGCACTTGAAGCTGCAGTGCCTCCAGGGGTCTGCTCTTCAGACTCTTACTTGGAGGACACCCCGCCTTAAAGCAGGGCCAGTCAGCAGAAACCACCCAGCACTGCACACTAGGATAGGTGAGAGGTGAGAGGGGGGCTCCTCCCCGAGCTCACCCTGCTCATCCCAGCGAACTGGTTCCGGCTGGGGGAGCGGGCAGCACGTGGTGGCCGAACTCACATCCTGGGGCCCGCGGTTGCAGGAATCTACTGATGGGACCACTGCCTACAGACCTGTGGTTGAATGGGGGAAGGGCACGATGGGTGGATCAAGCCCCAACACAGACAAAGGGCCCAGCAGCTGGAAAGAGCCCCCAGGCAGCCCTGGGACCCCCACGGATGCGAGGAACACAAACTGCAGAAGGACGCTGCTCCTTCCCCACATGCTCCTTGCCTCTGGGCTCTCACCAAAATGGTGGTTGAGTTACTTCCCCAGTCCACTTCCAGCGGAGACCTGGATCCCCACCTAGGCCTCAGCCCTGAGGTTTTCCTTGGCTGCAGCCCCAGCTAGCTGGCTTGCTTTCCCCAAACTCCTTCTCACTCCCGGCTGCCCACCCCTTCATGGGAAAACATCTGCTGAAAGGGGAGAGACTAACACAGGGCTTCTCCCGTGGCAGCCATGAGAACATAGGCTGGACACACAGTTCAGGCTGCTGTCAAGGAAGCCTGCAGCCCCCATACACCCAGCTCTGACTCAGCCTCAACCAGCCAGGCTGCTCAGGATACACAGCAACAGTGAAGAGGCAGCCCTGGGCCTGATGTCCGCAGATGGGCAAGAAGGTCCTAGCACAGCAGCAAACTGAGCATTTGGGAGCTCCAGAGATGAAGGAGCAACAGAGCTGATTTCTATGAGGACAACTTTAAGAACTGCTACAAATCCCAACTCCTGGAAAAGCGGCCCTTCCACCACTACTGAAGGATCGCTGTGGCTGACACACCCAGGACGCAGCACCTCCCTGCCTGGGGAGCCGTAACCTGTGGGCGGCCTCTGCTCCCCACCCCACCGCTCTCCCTGCCTCTCTTGTCTCTGATGGAGTCCTCAGCACCCGGATACCCCCTTGCCCAATTCTTTCCTCTACAGACAAAACAAGATGACAAACGACCCAGACACACATCACGTGGGGGTCCGGGAAAGGGGGAGCCTGGAGGAAGGAAGCCTGGTCCAGAGGTGGGCAGGTGCTTGCAGGGGGTCCGGCAAAGGGGTGCGCAGGGCTGTTGCTGGGTTGGGATGCTGGGGCAGATGCTGGTCTGGTGGGCAGGGGCCGTGGGGCAGCGGACTGTGATGGTCAGAGTAGTGGACGACACCCCCGAACCGCTGGAAAAGGAGCCCTCTCCGAGGCAGAATCGGGGCTTCCCTGGAGGAGACAAAGAGGAGGGAGGTGATGGCAAGCACTAGGTAATGGAGGGAGGGCACATGTGTACCCCTGGCTGTAGCCCACTGAATGTGCTAGGACCAGAGAGTCCAAACACAAGGGTGCCAGACCTCATACAGCCTGAGACACTGGGCCTAACACAGGTTTGGTGAACAGTCAGCTGCAGCACGTGATGGGAGGTGGGGGTGAGTGTCTGCATTCCCCTCTTTTCTCCTGCTTTTTTATAGATCAGGGTTATACAAAGTGGGCTCAGCTGTGTCCCTCCCCTTGGTTCCAACTGTGACTCACACCCCTGGAAGGCCCATGGCAGGAAGAGGGCTGGGAGATCAGATGGGGCTCTGGCAGCTTGACCAGCAGAAGGTCAGGCCTTGGTGGTGGGGCACTGGACCCATGCCCTGCTCTACCAAAACCACATGCTCCCTTGGCAAAGGTCCACCCTGGGGTCATTCTGCACAATGTTTAGGGGGCAAGACATCTATCTGGACACACAGGAAGGACATACTTCAGCCCAGACACAAGGAAGGAAAGGCAACTGAGAGGGTAAACTAAGGAATCTCCCCTCCAGGCAAAGAAGGTGGCCTCTGGGCTACTGCGCCTCTGCCTGCTGGAACCAGGCCCCTCTAGTGTCAGGAGACTAACTGAGTGAGTTTGACCCAGTCCTGAGAGGACAACCCTTCCCATTTGCCCCCAAGGCCACTTGCCATCTTCCCAATCCAGGCCTGAGCCTCATCATAGATGCTCCCAGCTGTCAGGATCTCTCTGTCCAGTCTCAGGTTATCAGGCCTCTAGCACCCTGATCTTAAAGGAGTACCCTGATCTAGTACCCCTTCCCTGGTGGCCACAGCAGGACAAACACTTGACCCACCTTTGACAGGTGAAGGACTCCTGTTTCACATTAGTGACCCTGTTGCAAGAAAAATCCAGACAAGAGTTTTAAATAACTGGACAACACAATCCCACTGACTGCAGTTTCCATGCACTCAGCTCTCAATTCTCCGGTGAGGCCCCAGGAGACAACGGTTCCTGAAGGACACCTGTGTGTGTGTCCAAGGGCATGGCTCTACCACAGGAGGTGTGGCAAAGGTGCTGATGATGCCCAGGCTGATGCCTGCACCATGCTGGGACCAAGAGCATCACCCCCAGATGGGACCAGAGCTTTCTTCCCCCTATGCGATGTGTGAGGCACCCTCTTCCTCAAGCCCCTGGGAGGATGGCTGGCTTTGGGAGGAGGTTGGAATGTGGGATATGAGGGGTTCCCCCTGTTCCCCCCACAATTCTAGGTCCTTACCGCACTAGAGCTGGCATGGCTGAGCTTATCAAAGCGGAACTTCAGATTTGACCTCGGGGAGTTTCTGCTTTTGACATCTGGGAAAAAAGAAACATGTCCATAAAGACAGGATGGGATTGCAGAGGTCACTGAAGTGGGGGCGCTGCCTAGGGAGGCCAGGAGAAGGGAGCTCCCTCCCTCCACCAAACATTCTACGTGACATGTACCAATTCACAAGCCAACTCTTTAACTATTTAGAAATGCTGTGAGCTGGTTGTTAAACACCATTACTTTTTTTTAATTTAATAATATAAGCTTATAATTAAATTATATACATTGAGGGTAATATTCAAAAGTCATCATTTCCTTGTTATTTCACTATATTTGACCATTTATAGATTCTCTTATTTATGTCTATAGACATAAAGTTACTCTATATATAGACACAAAGTTATTTGTGTCCATAAAAACCATCTGGCTGGTAATTCTTCCCAACACCACATCACACTGGTAGCTTGAGCTCAACCATGATAGGAGTATTTATACCACAAAAATCAGCAAATGCTACAAAATCAGGGCTTGATTTATTGTTCTGTTGTCTAGACTTAAGAAACAAATGGAGAAAATGTGAATAATATAGATTACACTTGATATGTCTATAGCCATTACATGATTAGCACAAAAAACTGAGTAAATACTCTTCCAACACTTGAAAACTATTATCTGATTCAGCACAGAGGTTGTTCATGTCACTGACAAAATGATATCAAATATTCATGTTAGAACTACACTTGTTCATTATTTGCAAAGTTGTCTCCAGATACAAAGGTTAGGCAAATATCAATAAAAGTGTTTTGTGAGAATCTTGGCTACATGGGATTTATAGTAAAGACTGTATTTTAACCATATGACTTCACTTATATGTAGAATCTAGAAGCAAAACAAAACAGCAACAGACTCACAGACACTGAGACATGACTGGCAGTTAGTTACCGTTGATGGGGGACTGAGTGGGTGGGTAGGTGAAATAGATGAAAGGGATAAAGAGACACAAAATCTCAATCATAATATAAATTAGTCACGGGGATGAAAGTACAGCATAGAGAATATAGTTAATAATTCTGTAACATCTATGTTGACAGATAGTAACTGCAATAGTTGGGGTGAGGATTTAATAATGTAGAAAACTGTTGAATCGCTATGTTGAATACTTGGAAACTGATATAATATTGTATATCAACTATACTTCCATTCTTAAAAAGTATTTTTAAGAAGACTGTATTTTAGCATTATTAATAAATTGTGTGCTTTAGAACCTTTATACCAGTAAGATTTGCAATAAACGTGTGAGACTGTGTGTGTGCGCGCATGTGTGGTTAGGAGAGCCAGCTGCAAGCATTTATCAGCACAGCAGTGGCACTGGGGCCACTTGGCTTGCTGGTTCTCCTTGGGCTGAGGGGACCCACAGCTCAGCACCCTCCAGCTGGAAGCTGCTGACTTACTCTGGTGCTTCAAATCAAGGGGTTCCACCCAGCACTCTGAGTACTTCTCAGTGTAACCTGACAAACCCCCTCTGAAGGTCCCAGGTGAGAAAGGAACAATGGTTGGGGCACCTGAGATTATGCAAGACGGGGTGTCAGCCCCTTCCCACGCCACCTCCCTCCCTTTGACCCTGCTTCTACCTAGATGCAGCACTGAGCAGCCTAAAAACAGGTCTCCAAATGTTCACAAACCCCCCATAGTCCTGGTCCCCACAACTCCTGTGGGGGTGGCAGTAAGAGATGGCCCCAGGGTCAGATACTATGTGGGGGCCTGGTGTGAGGAGATGCATCACCACGTGGCACAATAAGCACAAGGAGCCCCCAGGCTGGTTCCAGGTCCCCTTCTGCCCGGCATGACCTTCAGCAAGTTGCACTCTTCTCTAAACCTCCCATTACTCAAGACTTCCCAGGCTTGCTTATAGATTCTTTTGTTTAATCCCTCAATATTTAATCAAGCCTTATTTTTTAAAAATCAAGGAATCTGTATGACCACTCCACTTTGCCAATGAGGACACTGAGGCCCAGAGAGGGAGGCGGGTCAACACCGCAGCCAGGACGAGAACCCAGCTCCACAGCTGTCCAGCCACAGGGAGCTGAAGGAGGAAGCACACGAACTGTCTGTGTTTCTATCAGGAGACTAGAGTTTCTCAACCTCAGCCTGTTGACATTGGGGCCAGATAATTCTTGGTTGGGGGTCTACCCAGTATCCTGCAGAGGTTTAGCAGCATTCTTGACCTTCACCCACCAGACGTAAGCAGCACCCCCCACACACAGTCCTGACAACCAAAACTCTCTCCAGACATTGCCAAATGTGCCTGGGGAGAAGCAGCCCACTGAGAACCACCGATGATACTACTGTTTTATTCCTGTTGTTGAACAAACACCTGGGTTAAAGTTCTGTCTCTTACAAGCGTAAGTTCATTTAACCTTCACACAACCAACCATATGAGATAGAAACTATTCCCCTCCCTCCATATTTTGTTTGGGGAAACTGAGGGCACGAAAGGTTCAGTAACCTGCCCAATGTCACACCATTAGTAGTGGCAGATCCAGGCTTTGGGCCCAGGCCCCAGAGCCCTGCACTTGCCCCATGCTAGGTTGCCCTCCTCGAGGGCCAGACCAAGGCTCTGATTTCTGGGCTCCCACAGCACCTCCTGTTCATGCCCAGTTGGGTGCCCCCGGGGCACCAGCCCTCCCCCTCCCCCCGGAGCTGGCTCCTCCTGCCTGCCCGACTGCAGGGCTCACAGAAACCCAAAAGGCCTCTGCTCCTTGCTCTCCTTGAACCCCCACCACTGAGCATGGAAGATTTCACCTCCTTGACATCTCTCAGATCCACGTGTCTCTCACTGCTCGAGCACCCCCAGATCCACGGCCCTGTCACCTCTCACCACCCACTGTGACCCCTCCCTGATCTGCCTCCCTGTGCCTGCTCCCCACCAGTCCTCTGCTCAGCCTGCTGCAGCCACCAAACTGACCTTCCTCTGCTCCAGATGGCACTTCTCTACTTAAGAACCTTCAAAGACTTAATAAGACCCACCAATGGCTTCTATTGCCAGCAGGACACCACCAAAATCCTTGCCAGATGTCCTGACCATCCTGGGATAGCACCCTAACTGCTGTCTCATCTCTCACCAGCCTCGGGAACATGCACTTCCAGAACACAGTCTCTCAATCCCCTCCAGGCCTTCCTGTGTGCTGTTCCCTCCACCTGCAACAGTCTTCCCACCTTGTATCCTTTATTATCAGGATTGTCGTGACAGAGGGGCCCTGAGTCAGTGATGGTGTGGGTGCAGAGAGCCCACCTTTCAAATCCCATAATCCCAATAGGGGTCCCATGACATAATGGTTAGCACTCTGGATTGTGAATTAAATCCCATAATCCCAACCCCTCCAGCAAATCACTGAACTCTCTGAGCCTCAGTTTCCCCATAAGTAAGGAGACAAAGAGCCCCTTAAGGTTGAAGAGCAGATGAAGTGAGCTAACAGAGCCAAGGGGCCGCACACTTTGGGGTAGAACAGAACCTCAGTGTGCCTGGGGTACATACGCCACGAACAGTGGTCAGGGCACAGCCCCCACCCCCACCCCATGGCGCACATCGCGAACGTCACTGACCGGTCGGGCTCCGGCTCATGATGATGGGGGTGGCAGCTGCCCCCAGGCTGGGGCTCTCACTGCTCGGGGACGGGCTGTAGACAAACACCTCCTGCTTGAAGGGCGAGGTTGTGGATGGCTGGCTGCTCTGGGGACAGAGGCTGGGTGAGTGAGGCCAGCCCCATCCCCTGGCAGCCCCACAGGTTGACCTGTGCCTCGCCGACCTGAGACAAGCCCCCAGCAAGGCCAGGACAGTCACAGCCTCCTGCTCCCAACTTGGCCCTGCTCTTCCCTTCTGCTGCCTCCAACCTCCCCCCGTCCCCCGGGAAGTGCCCTGGACCCAGGCCCACAGGAGCTGACCCCTCCCCTCTCCAGCCAGGGGCTCCACGACAGGGAAACGTTCAGCCTGGGCTTTGCCCCTCTGCTGCTGCCCCTATGTCACTCCAAGGGAGACCCCCCGGCCACTGCTCCCAGAGGGTGGAGGTGGCTGACCGGGCCACCTTCTGTTTCCACACTTCCCCTTTTATCCCCAGAGCCTGGATGCCACTCTGCTCACAGAAGGCACTTTAGAGCATGGGTGCCCAGCTGGCCCAGGGTGCCCCTCCCTGCTCCCCAGAGTTGGACAGGGCCACACGTACCCCACTGTCACACTCCTCCATGGCCTCGCCGTCCCCAGCCGTGCTGCTAAAGCTGCTGGTGCTGGAGGAGGAGCGGGAGATGTTGGCTCGGCCATTCTCCTTCAACTTTATGAAGGGCCTGTGGGGGACAGGAAGCAAGGCAGGCCCGGGTCATACACCGATACCCCCAGGCCCTCGGGCAGGGCAGGGCCAGCAAAGATGGAGCTTGCCCACCAGCTGCACCTCATGCTCCTGCCTGTTGGCTTGTGCTCTGGAGAGTTCCCTGGGCAAGAGATGCTGGCTGTCAGGTTGCCTGGAGCAGACAGCATATTCCAGGGCCCCAAGAGGCCAAAGCCAGCCCTTCCCCAACCCTGTCTCTTACTTTTCCTTGTTGGGGCAGATTTCTGGAGAGCTGGGATTGGACGAGGTCTCATACTTTATCTCCTGAGAAGAGTGTCCACCATCCGGGGTCTTGGGGTTGCTGGATGAACTGTCACTGACAAAACGGGAATGAAAAAGAGTGAGGCCATGGGACCAGCCCCCAAGAAACCCCCAGGCCTGAGAGAGTGCCATGGGGGCCATGGGTCACAGTGTGCCCTGCCAGAGCATGGCCACCAGGACCTCCATCCCCATACAAGCTCCCTCAGAGACTGCTGCACACAAGGCCTTTCTGCTCCACCAGGGGCTACCCCAGGCTCCTGGGTGAGAGTCAAGAGCCAAAGCAAGCATCCTGGCTTAATGGCCAGGAACCCAAGCCCACCCCCAACCCAAGCTGCCATCCCACCAAGCAGAGCTCTAGGTCAAGAGCAGGCCACAGAGGTATGGGGGTGGGGGGTCTGTTCAGGGAAATAACCCAGTGCACATGGACTCCTCAGGAGTGCCACAGAGCCCACACTGCATAATTCCGGGGACCCCTTCACACTGGCTTCGATATGAGCTCCCCAGATGCACGTGAGGAGGGAGCCCTGAGGGCCAGGAAGGGCAGTTTGGGAACTGGGCCACTCTAAACCTGGGGCCCAAGAGTTTCCTTCTCCTAAAATTGAACAAAGACCATGTACTGATACCCACTATTTGCCCTGTGCCCACTGTTGGGGACGATGGCCCTTTCCTCAAGGCACTTTTATTTTTATAACAGCTTTATTGAGATGCAATCCATGTACAATTCACCCCTGGAAAGTGTACAATCCAATGGGTTTTTAGCATGTTCACAGAGTTGGAAAACCATCACCACAAACTAATTTTAGAACATTTTAGTCCCCCTAAAAGAAACTCCAGACCCACTCACAATCACTCCCCACTCCACCCCAACCCTAGCCCCTGACAACCACTCATCTACTTTGTCTTTATGGATTTGCCTGTCCTAGACACTTCATAAAATAGAATCATACATCACATAGGGGCCTTTTGTGACTGGCTTCTTTCACTTAACATAGTGTTTTTAAGATTTATCTATGTTGTCTTGTGTATCACTATTTTGCTCTTTTGCTCCTTTTTATTGCAAAATAATATTCCGTTTTATTGATATGCCACCTTTTACTTATCCATTCATCAACTGATGGGCATTTGGATCATTTTTACTTTGGTCTATTACACATAATGCTGCCATGAACATCTGTGTGCTAGTTTTTACATAGACATATGTATGCTTTCTCTTGGGTATATATCTAGGAATAGAATTGCGGGTGATTTGGTAATTCTCTATTCAACCCAGTAATTCCATGAGGAACTGCCAGATTATTTTCCAAAACAGTTGCACTAGTTTACATTCCCACCAGCAATGCATGAGGCTTCCATTTCCCCCATATCCTTGCCAACACCTGTTATTATCTGATTTCTTGATTATGTCCATCTGTCTTCCTAGAGGCATGAGGGGCCTCAGTGCACTTTTATGAGAGTGCTAATGACCTCCTAATTATCAACTCAAGCAAGACTTGAGCTGGCTGACCCTAACACTGCTGACCCTCCCTCCTGGAATTTCTCTTCTGGCTCTGAGATCACAGCCTCTTCTCTTCTCTTCCTTCCTTTTCTTCCCTTGGCCTTAAATGCGGGCATTCCCAGGCATTCCATACACCCCTCTGGGTGGCTGTATTCATCGATCTGTCTTTAAACAGCACCCCTACCTCACTGACTCCCAACTCTTCCTCTCTGGTCAAGGCCTCTCTCCCAAGCTTAAGACTCGCAATTCTGAGCACGCAGAATTCTGTGCTTCTCTACCAGGTGGGCCACAAGTACTCTCTTGCATGTTCAGCTTCCAAACAGACCTTTTCATTGTCTTCCATAAACCTGCTCCTCATCCCGCAGGCCCAAGCTCAGGGGCTGGTGCCACCATCCGGGGCAGCAGACACACAACTCGGAAACCTGGGAAGTCAACCCACATGCCTCCCTTCCCTCACTGCAGGCCTCTGGAGGGCAGGTTGTGTCTTCTGCAGGTCGGCACGTATGAGGCACTCAAGAAATGCTGCTGCTGAATTCAGCAGACAGACTCGTCAATTAAAGGATCAGAATGACAATCAGAAAGAACAGGTTAAGTATGATACAGTGTGAGAGTTGCTTTAAAAAAAAAAGAGAGAACATTCTGGAAGCCCACAGAAAAGTTCAATTAACTTTGGCAGAATCAGAGAAGGCTTCCCTAAGAAGGGACATTCAAGCGAGCACTGATAAAGGAAACAAAGAAAGAAAAGAATCCAAGCAACATTTCTAGTTTGGGTCAAAAATATGACAAGAACAGCTTTGGAAAGTTCCATGCAGAGACTGGCCAAATCTGCCTCAGTGGACAAAGAGGTGAGTGAGTGGCAGGGGGTGGGCAGGTGCCTGAAGTGGGGATCAGGGTTAGAAAGATGCCGTCTCCTGAAGCTGTGCAAAGCCCTCCCCAAGGCTGGGCATCTGACAGCTGTATTATGGAGGGAGCTGACAACCCCACACTGGACAGTTACCACCGCGTCCGGCTGTCCCCTTGGCCTTCAGAGCCTGCGTGCAGACGGGGGAAGAGCCCCGATCGCCGCTTGATGGGGCTGCGTGACTGGTTCTTCGCCGTTGCTGCGGCCACTGGAGGCTGCAATGAAACCACGAGAATGAGTGCTCACACCCCAAACCCCAGTCTTCTTCCCTTCCTTTTCCTTTCCAATCTGCAATAGCTCCTGCAACCCCCTACCTAGTCTGGCGGAGACCCCAGAAAATGGCAAGCGAGCTAGAAAGCCTGGGATCTGAGACCCTGAGACTCAAGCCTTTTGCAGCCTGTTCTCCTGTGTTTTAAGTCAAACCTTGTGACCCCAGATGACAATCCACTACAGGCCAGAATCTTGAAGGAACATGGGGTCAGGGCGACCATAAGGAGAGCCCACCTGTTAAGAAAGACGAATGACTCTGAGGGTCCCTGCCTGAAACCACAGAGCTGAGAAGGCCCTGGGAGTGACCCGGCCCAACCTCTCCCTTTATCTATGAAGGAGCTAAAGAGCTGCAGGGTAAGGGGGTTCAGCCAAGGTTATATAGCAAATCACAGGGAAGGTGAGGACAAGAATCCAGGGTTCTTGATTTCCCATTCATTCCCTTCAAACAGATGGGTCCAAGCTGAGGGACTCTAACAAGACAGAATGAGAATGGCAGAGCCAGGCTCATGTGCAACCACAGGAAGAGGGAGCCCCCCAGAAAATGGCTCCGCTTCAGCCCCATGAGGTGGGGGGCAATGGAGAGATGGGAGATTGTGGGGGATGAGACAGGAGCCTGCAGTCATTCTTTAGAGCCCACCAGGCTGCTAACTCAGGCCCCAACTCCTGACACTCACATGCTGTGCAACCTTAGGTGAGTGGCAAAACTCTCTGGGCACCATCTCCTCCTTGACAGAATGAAGGTGATTGCCCTGCCCCTGCCACCCCCCCCCTCTATAGACCTCCTGGGTGGAGGACACCAAGAGCTATGAAAATATTTGGTAAATGAAATGAATTATGTAAGACCATTTGTAATACAAATTGTTAATATCATGTTCTGCTATTAAATAGAGAAAAAAACCCTAGTGTCTGCAAATCTAAAGTCGCTCTGCTTTTTAAAAAGACTATGTGGCTCCTTCACTGGCCAGCCCCTGGTGCAAACAGACCAGAACCCAAACCCACAGACTTGTCAATCTGTCTTTCCTTGGAAACTCCATTACACGGCACCTAAGAGCAAAGGCTTGGGCTCAATGAGACCTGCACTCAAATCCCAGCTCTTCAGCTCAGCTGGGTGACCTATAGGAAGTTACTTAACCCCTCTGGGCCTCCTTTTCCTCAAATGTGAAATGGAAAACAGATTAGCACCTACCTCAGACAGCTGATCCAGGGATCAAATGAGATAATGTCCATGAATTACTCAGCTCAGTATATGTGCAGAGCAGGCTGGGAGGCCACTGTTACCATTAATAACAAAGCAAGGGCACCCATCATGGGGCCCAAGCCCCGGGCAGAGAAATGTGTCCCATGACCATTTTGCCAATGTGTCCCACAACCATTTTGCCAGGTCCCAAGGAGGAGTCCTACTTGTTGAGGAAACTCAGAGAACAGGAGGCTTCCGGTCCGGGCCAAAGGGAGGTGCCGCCTGGGATGGCACCATTTCTCAGGGCAGGGCCTGGGGTCACCTCCTAACAGCCTCAGTTTCCCTCTGTCATCCCTGCTCTGGTCACCTGGCCTAAACCTGGGTGAATGCACCCTTCCTCCACAGGCCTGGGGACCCTCCCCAGGACCCATGTGCTGCCCAGGGCCCACGGAGACTCACCGAGAAGGTAGTCTTGGTGACCTCCATGCTGTTGTGGGAGATGCCCCCGCTGAGGCTGCCGGGGATGCCCCCACTGTGCTGCTTCTTCTGGCTGCTCACCATGGTCTCCATGGAGTGGCTGCGCACACGGATGGCCCTCTGTGGGGAGAGAGTTCCAGCTCTGGCCCACCGGACGGCCCTGCCCTCCTGGTAGGGTTTGCAGACACAGCCCTTGGCATGTGCAGATGTGCACACACACACACGCATTCTCTCTCAGTGGCTCACATGACAATCACTACAGAGAATTTTCATATATCCCATCCCACGCTCCAGGCATGGGTGACTTTTAGCAGGGAGTCGGAGGGTTCAGTGCCCAGCACCGCTACAAGGTGGACAAAGGTTGCTATTCCCATCTCACAGGTAAGGGAAGTGAGGCCAGCTCCCCGAGCCCCCATCCTGGTCTAGTTACCAACCTCTCTAAGCTCCAGCTTCCTCATCTGTAATTCAGGAAATTATATGCTCCATGCAGGATTATGGTGGGAAATGTGCCTGACCCCGATCTCACTCTTTTCCCAGAAAACCAAGCACCCTTTTATATTTAAAAAGTGATATCCCATCTGCTGTCGTCCCAAAGTGTGCTTTGTGTAACTTGGAATACAATGGCCATTGGTTAGGAGCTCTTACTAATCCATGCAATGGGGCATCTCTCACACTTGCGGGGGTATAAAACAGCATCATCACAAGCCCACAGTCTGGCACAGGTGCTGACCGAGGAGATGCTCAGACTGGGCAGGGTTCAGGGCCTCAGGGGGCATGGAGCTGCTCAGGCTCCATGATGCACTGTGCCTACTTAGGGCTGCTGAAGAGCAAAGGGCACGTCAGCAAACAGTGAAGTGCCCAGGAGGGGACAACCAGAAGAAAGGCAGGAGGGGAGTCAAAGAGTGTGGCTGGTCTGATGGGATGGAGGAGGACTTCAGGTCTAAGGCAGTCCCATAACCTGCCCCCAGACCAGTGGGACATGAGGGGACGTCTGCTGGGGGCTCCGGGGGAAGGTCTCCTTGGTGATTCTCAAGAGATGTGACGTCTCTGTACCTGGAACTGCAGCAGCCACCTGGGGCCATGAGGGCTCAAGCCTGGGGGATGAAGCTGAGAAGCTGGGGGTGGCAGAGGGGGAAGAGGGGAGAAGCTGTGGGCAGAGGACCACATGGTCTTAAGTCACCTCAGGCCTGCTTGTTAAGTGAGCTACGAGGTTTTCCTCCTGTTGTAAGCTGGCTGAGGTTCTCAGAACCTCAGAAAACTTACCTAGAACGACAGACATGTGGATGCAGGAAGCTGATTCAGGAAGGAGGGCCATTGGTAAATAATGACAGCCCTGGAGACCACTTGTGAAAGAGATTTGGAGCCCACCAGCCTTGTATCCCTGATGCCATCTAGCCTCTCCTGTCTGAGCCAAAGATGCCCCTTGAGGAACATAATCTCTCCCTTTCTGGACCACAGAAGAGAATCCCACAGCAAGCTTCCTGAAACATGGTTAGAACAGCCGCACATTCTGTGCATTCCATCACCCAAAGACCATTAAGTCACACTGGAAAACTGAGGGCAGGAAAGGTATGGCACCACACTGAGGTGTCCCAGATAAGCAGTGAGGTTCCTCCATGAGTGAAGTGCTCCATAAATCTCAGCATCATTCTATTCCTGGTGCTCCCATGAGTACCACTGCCACCTCCACCACCATCGCCATCAATGAAGACATGTCACTTCATCATCCCCGTGTGATGTATCACTCACTGTCTCTCTCCACAAAGGATCTGACATGAGTGACAAGCCCTGTACGATGGTACCTGGCCTGCTGAGCTTCACGTGATCTGAGTGAATCCCTACAGCCCTAAGATGCAGAGAGGACAGACACGGATAGAGAAGGTCCCAAAAAGTAAATGATTACCAAGGTCACATCACAGATAAGAGATGGAGCCAGGACCCAAACCCAGGAACCAAACCCTGGGCTCCAGAAGAACAGTCCCAACAACCCAAAAAGTGGCCCCAATTGAACATAACATTTGCTGACTGATGGACAAGGAGCTTTCAGCCTCCCCCCAAAAAGTCTCCAAGCCTGCTGTCAGGGAGCATACCTTCTCCTCAGCGTTGCTCTGAGTCAGCAGGGTAAGTTTGAGGAGATAATGGGCTGACAGGGAATTCCAGGGATGTGTAGTGTGGCCGGCTGCTGCTTGAAGCAAACAGGAAGGGGTTTTGCAATCTAGGGAATATGGTCAGAAATACTGTAATATCTGTGTATGGCAACAGTAACTACGCTTACGCTGGTGAGCATTTCATAATGTATGTAATTGTTGGATCGCTATGTTGTACACCTAAAACCAACACTGTATATTAACTCTACTAAATTTAAAAAAAAACACAGGAAGAGGTTTGAATCCTGGTTCTTCCCAGCATGGTGCATTAACCTCTTGAACCTCTCTGAGACAGTCTCCTGGTCTGTACAACGTGGCAATGGCCCCTGCCTGAGATGAGACAGTGTGTGCCAAATACCTACTCGCTCTCAAGTCAGCTCTCCTCCCCTGCTCTTGGGAACAGAAGGATGTTCTAAGGCTCAAAACCTTAAAATAAAGCTTGATTTGGATGAAGTCACCCAGTGACATGGTCCAAAGTATCTCACATTTCAATCTGTTGTAGAGATGGGAGCACCGGCCTTTTCCAATTGGGTGAGGACTTGGGTAAAGGTTGAAGAGAGTGAAGGACAGTGATATAAGAAGAGGAAGGGAGGAGAGAAAAAGACAAGCAGGTCAAGGCTCTGCGTCGGCATCCAGAGGTCTCCAGGGATCTGGTCCCTCTCCCACTCAGCCCGTGTACATCTGGGCCACAGGCTATCTCTTCTCTGCCTGCATCTTCCTAGGGTCGGGCTGCACACTGTTTCAGTGATGCCTGTTTTAGCGGTGGACAGCCTGGCTCTTGGAAGGTGTTCTGTGCACCAAGTGGAAACCTTACCCTTTCTAGACCTTGGGAGACCTAGACCAGTCTACTCTGTATTTCACACAACCGTCTCAGAGTCTGCTTGTGTCTGACTCCAATATACATACTTGGTCACCCTGGTTTCCTAGCCCTCAGCTCACCTCACAGCTTGCCCCTGAACACATTCTCTTTGGAGGATGAGAAGAGAGATGGCATCTCTTTCTCATTATCTGCTCCTGTCCCTCCCTTTCAGCAAGGGGCTTGAGCACCAGTTAGCATCATGCAGGGAGCAAGTCTCTTCCGGGCCAACCACAAACCTCACTTCCTTACAGGTGGGTCTTGTGAGTTGTTTCAATTCAACAAACTCAACTTAAGGAACCCAAATCCTCCAAGGTGGATGTGGCTATCTGTACCAGGCAAACAACAGTGGAAGAGGCCCTTGGAGAAAAACACGCTAACTGCTTGCCTGCTGAGATGGCTCCGAATCAGGAAGTATTATGAGGTCTCGAATGGGGTCTTCTGTCCTTTCAGCAGGAGGACAGAAAGTATTTCCTGACAGAGAAGGAAATACACCTCCACACCTCTACTCTAATCTGTGACCAGAACAGACCAGGGCTCCCTCTTATCTGTGAGCTACGGGGATTGTCCTGGCTTGAGGGACCTGAGCCTGGGATACCTGCAGCCCGGCGCTCCCCTCCTGCCACTAGGGGTCAGATCAGACCAGTGCATAAGCTGTCACAGGCCCTCAAAGGCTGCAACAACTGCCTGCTTGCTGTGGTCCAGGTCTGCCGCTGCTGGGTGGCCTCCTTGTCCCTCCTGCATGATGAGGTGAGTGGAGGGTTGAGCTAGCTCAGTGTTTCTCAAAACATGGCTCATGGGTGCTTTGAGTACATTTCACATTGATCTATTAAGTAGCATCACTTTTTCACTGCATTACAGACAAAAACTTCATCAACAGCTGGTAGTGGCTGAGAATGGCACTTGAGAACAGTCTAGAGATCAGTATTTTTCCAATGTACAGCTTCTTTGTAAGGAGAAATGATTCCTGTAAGACTCTAAGAATATGTCCAGACCCCTAACATCAGTGGTCACATGGACTTGCATTTGTAATATGCCTACTCATTCTACAGAAATGTCATTTAATCATGAGCTTCATTGCAAAAGTTTAGCCTCTGTAGTTGGAAACACACCTCTTTTTTTAGATCATCATGTAAATAAAAACAAAAAATTTTAAAGTGTGTAAAACTGGAGAATTCCTGAGAGTATCTCCAATCACCTCAGTCTGAGAAATGGGTCTAGACGTCCCTAAATCAAATGTAATGTTACTTCTGGGAGAAAAGCTTAAATGGTAGCCAGCAGAATTGAAGCAAAATGTGCAGAACTGGTTTATGTGGTGTGGGGTGCCACGCAGCCAACCGAGGGCAGGGATGGGTCTGCTCCCTAGGAGATGCAAACTGTAGGGTGCTGCACCACAAAGTCAGGCCAAAATAGTCACAAGAGGCAAGGGATGGATGGCTGAGACCACATTTATCCCTAGGAATTCTCCACTATGTTTCCACATGCCTGTGGGATGAGAACTTGACTGGAAGGAGATACAACACACAGCTTTTCTTTCTGGAATCATTTCATGCACCATTTCCTTCAGGAGGGGATTCCACGGAGATCTGGGTGAGGAGCACTGTGAGGAATGCCGATAATTCCTTCAGCACAGCCCGACCCAAGGCCCATGACGAAATATCCAAACTAGAGACAGCTTCCTGAGCTGGGTTGGACCAGAGGCCAGGCCACAGCCCCGCCCGAACGTCAGCATCCCTCAGGCTGCAGGGCTCTGCGCTGCTGCACCTGGCTTGCCCTCAGCTCCAGCCTCCACAGCTTGGGAGATATGAGGTTGAGGACGGAAGGGACCAGGCAAAGAGCTCATGTTCCCAGTGGGGGGTTGAAAAAAGGCTGATCAAAACCGGCAGCCCTCTGAAGGCTTACTTTGTGTGACTGACCTTGACAGTCCCCTTCCTCACCCCACAGTGACCTCAGAGACAGGCATGGAAGCAGAATGCAGAAAGAGCCTAGAGCTGAAAGGGTTGAAAAGAAGAATTCCCTGGATTATTGGATCCAAGATGAATAATGATAAAGTACTGAAGCCTCTCCTCTCTGGGAAACCCCTTTAGTCAGACCCACTGGAACCAAAACAGAACAACTACTATTGCTGCCAGAGCCCGGGGGCTGGACCAATGGCCTCAGGCCACTCCTTTAGACCCCAAACCTGTGTGCAGCTGCTGGGCCCTTCACCCACTGGGAACCATGGGCAGAGCATCCACTGCCTACAGGCTTTTCTAAGTTATAAAAATATTTGAAACTTGAAAAAAACAATTGTTAACTGCAAACTACAGAAAGAGTCTGCAGCAGAGAGCAACAACTGCATCACTAAATGTCTGCAAAATACAACATTATGTCAACTGCAGCTCAAGTCGTATAAAAATGACATTCACTGTGGCATATGGAAGCATTTTGATATGCCTGAGATGATGAAGGGCACAGCCTACAAAGGTTTCCCTATTTGCTGGGTGTCACATTCACCCTCTCTGGGCTGGCCTAGTCGGCCTGGCTCTCTTGCCTCCTCTTCCTCATCCCACTTTCCTCTTCATCTCCAATTTCCCCTGTTTCACCCTGGCTGCCACTGTCCATCAGGACTGAAACAGATGCCCCAGGAATCTCCCACTAGCCTGGACAAGCAGCTCAGCTTCCTCCCCCACCCTCCTGAGGAATCTCAGCTGCTAGCCTCGACTGGGGCCAGGACAGCCATGCCCTGCTCTCTGCAGTCCAGCCAGGCAGCCAGGGATGGACCCCAGGCTTGCCTGGGCCGCTAGGGCGGGTGGAATCTTAACTGAGTCGGAAGCCATAGGCAGTGTCACATAGTCACTGAGAACACAGGCTTTGGAGACCAGCAGACCCCGATTTAAGTCCCAAATCTGCCAGGTGACCTGAGACAGACTACTCCATCTCTTTGAGTCTTAGTTTACTCACCTGCAAAATGACACCCATAATTATTAAAACTGGGTATGAATGATTATACCCATAATAATAGCCTTGCTCACAGGGCACAGAGCGCCAAGTGTGAGGCATTAGATGGGACAATGTGTGTTAAGCTTTCACTTTACAAAACAGCTAAAACTTTTACCAGCATTTACTGTATTCCAGGCAATGTGCACTCTCCCAGGTATTAGTTCAATGAATCTCCCAGCAACTCTAGGACAGAGGTGCACTTGATCATCTCTATGCTGTTGATGAGAAAACTATATAGTTCAGAGACTTTAAAGACGGCGCCCAGGATCACATAGAGCCGGGAATGCTAAAACGGGCAGGTCTAACCCCCACACACACACACGCTGTCCCCAAAACGGCAGCTTTACAAGTCACTCTGCGATGGCTGTTCCAGCAGAACACTGACCTAGGAACCAGGAAACCTGGGTTTGAAACAAGGCTATACCTCCAAGTAGGTGTAAGGTTCTGGGCCCTCCCATGGTCTGTCTCAGCCTGAGCCCTCGTGTGAGTGGAAATAACAAAACCTGTTCTGCCAACTGAACAGGATTACAGCCAGGCTCAGATCAGATGCTGGATGAAAGTGCTCTGGGGACTGACAAGCATTCAGCAACGACAGGATGGTGAACCTTCTTCATCTCACACCAGCTGGGTGGCAGTCCAAGCTCTACTTGAAAAATCCCAGGGACAGGGAGCTCACTACCTCTTTCAGCACCTCATTCTGGTTAGGAAGTTCCTCCTTTTTCAAAGCCCACAGGGACTTGCCTGTAACTCCATACCACTGGCCTGGCCAGGTCCTCCGATGCCCTGCCAGTTGGAAAGAATCCTTGCGGTACCCGTACCCTGTACAGGCTGCTGAAGACCCGTAAGGTCTGTGTCCTTGCTCCTGCCAGCCTTCCCCGGGCTCCCCGTCCTGCCACAGAAGGGAGGCAGATGAAAGCAGGATGCTCTCGATTGGCACTGGTCCTCTCCTGGTGCTAACTCTTACCCTGTCCCTGCTTGTCAGACCCCGGGGCCAGGAGGAGACGAGCCAGTTCAAGGCAGGGTGCAAAGGATGCTGGAGGCACAGCTGGCTGCTCCAGCCACTCCCACTTCCTGATGCCCCTGCCCTCTGCAAATACCTGCAATGCCCCATTGGTCCTGCCTCCTCTGGAGGCCCTCGGGTTCTGGGGTCAGGACTGCATGGGCCTTCCTTGGATCACGTGGACCTTGAACGTCTTCCCTTGTTTTCCCCACCCCAGCAATCCCCAGCTGATCTTGCCCCTGTACCTTAAAAGACTCCAGGAATCCCCCATGGCCCCCATTCTCAAACTTGTCCTCTTCTGGGCCCAGTCCCAGCATGGCCTGTGTGTGGACGTGGAGTTCGTCGTGAAGGTTGTCCAGGAGTGCGGCCCTCGTCCGGTCCTGGAAGGGAAGAGCAGGGGAGCTATGGAGCTGACCCTGTGGGCATGGGTGCGCCCTCTCCCTGGAGGCTCCACGCACTTGGCCACATGCAGTCCCACAACAGTGTGGACCCAAGGCCAGGCTGGGGTCCATGCTCACAACTGATGCAGTTACCACTAAAGCTCTGTACCTGTCCCTCTGCTGCTCCTCCTTGGGCCATCCTAGGCTCTGCCCTGCTGACTCCCAGCCCGGATGTCTGCCTCAGTCTCCACATCCATGGACCCAACTGCCCACTGCTCTCCTCCACCCAGCTGTTCTTCTAGAACCAAGGATACAACCTCCAGGGAGCGCCATGCACACAGACCAGGACTGGTCCTCTCAGCGACCCGGCCTTTGTAGGCCCTCCTAGGACCCTCACAGACCAGCAGATCCTGAGGAAACTCATCTCCCAGTGGACCCCATGTCAGGGAAGAGCCCCAGCCAAAGGCCCAAGAGCCGCCCCACAATTCCACTTCCCCCCACCCTTACATACAGGAGACCATCAGGTCTTCCTGACTCAGACCCCAAATCATCTCCTCCTGGGCCCAGCGTGAGCAAGCTGTCATCATCTATCTCGGACTCCAGTTCATAGTGTCTGACTTGCCACCCTTCCTGCCCTCCTCCCTTAAAACCTCTCCTCCTCCCCACCGTCAGAGGAATCTTCTAATACACAAATCAAACACATCGCTCTCCTGCCTGAGCACTTTATTAGTGCCTCATTGTCTCTAGAATTCAAAGCCCTTCTTGATCCGACCCAACCAGTGTCTCCAGCTGAGTCTCCCATCAGCCCATCCCTCATTTGAGTCCTCCCCTCAGGCCACATCAAACCCTCCGGAGCTCCCTCACAAGGCAGGCTCTGGTGCTGCCTGGCCTTTGCTCATGCTGGGCCCCATGCCTGGAATAACACTACCCACTCTTTCCTCCTGGCAAAAGGCCTGTCAGATATCCAGATTCAACAGCTCATGGGGCACCTCCTCCAGGAAGCCTACCCTGAACACACTCCAGCCCCCCACAGGCAGAAGCAGTCACTATCCTGAGCCCCAGCCCCAGCACCGGCCTCCCTCATGGCCCAGTGATGGCACACAGTATCACACCTGTCTCTTTAGTAAATGTCTCCTCCTACCAACCCAGGAACTATGTAAGGGCAGAAACTGTGTCTCACTTGGCCCTATAGCGAGTGAAGGGTACAGAACAGAACTGGACACACAGTAGATGCTCAATAAATGACTGGTGAATGATTGACTAGAACTGAAGTTTGGATGGAGTTTGCACAGGAAGAAAGAGTTCCTATAACAATACAGGGCTAAAGGCTTAAAGAGACAATGATGGTCCTCCTCACTTTGAATGGCCCCCCAAAACAGATCCCCGAGCAGCTGGCTAACAAGCAGCTGGGAGTGCAGAATGACCTTCAGACACCAGCCCCTCACCTCCAGCTTTGCAAACTTGTCCGATTTGCAGCAAGCGTTCTCTGCGTTGGTGAGCTTGGTGAGCAGAAATTCTCTGAACTCCGGGCCCTGGAACGGACAAGCAGCTCTGGGACTCTCCCAGTCTCAGCCATTGCCAAGAGGGTGTCAGCCACCGTAACAGGTGGGAAGAACAGGACGCCTGGGGAGAGCCCCTGAAAGGTCCCTTTCTGACAACTGATCATTTTTTAGCCCAGGCCAAGCCCACCTGCTAAGATGTCAACATGGAAACTAGCTTCCCTAGTCCTGGAAATCAACCCTCCCCAGCCACACTGGCATTTCTATTACTGGAGGGAATTTGGGCCCAAGGCTCCTGGAACTGGAGCATTGGTACAAAAACCCTTCTTCCAGCAGGAAGGCCATCCCCATGTCAAACACCCTGATGAGAGGCCCTGTGCTAGGCCAGCTGACAGCATGAAGACAGGTGGGGAGACAACCCATGCAAGGAGGCTCCCCGAACCCTGCCGGAAGTCCTCCTAACATTCCCAGCTCAGACTCAGCCCGCCCCAACCAACCTGGAGTCTTGGATATGAGAGGAGCAGAAAGGACAGGTCCTTACCTTCTGGAAAACAGGAGGACTGGGCAGAGGTGGGCCAAAGGCAGGCACATCTTCCCGTGCAGTTACTGAGACCTGAAACAAGAGCGTCCATGTAGGCAGGGAAAGCATCCAAGCAGAGGATGGTAATGCATCCCACCCCAGCCCTGGAGAAGCCCACTCCCCACAGCAGGTCCACTCCCCTGCTCCCCACTGCCCTTCCCAGAATACAAATTAAATGCTTCTGGGAGCAAAGCCAACCTGGCCCAAGTCACTGTTCCTAGAAGTGGGTGGACGGTGCAGAGCCATCCACACGCTGTCATCTGCATTCCTGGAGGCCAGAAGCACGTCTGGCAAGATAGCTGGACGGGGCTGAGGAGAGCAGCCTGAGACCCTAGTTCTGATGCAATGTAAGTACCCAGGAGGCCTCATCCCATTACCCCCTACTAATCGTACAGGGAAGACTGAGCGAAGACGATTACTCCTGTTCACCGTGAGGAAACAGATGCCCAGAGACGTGGAGCAATCTCCCCCAAAGGCACACGCAATTAGCCAGGGGTGAGCCCTGCTCTGAGGCTCTTTTCCCACAACACTGACTCCCAAAACTGGCCATGCATCACAGTCACTTCCAGTGTTTAAAAAATTAATACTGGTTGCATTGGCTATACCCCAAACCTACTGAATCAAACGTTCTGGGGTGGAGCCAGGAATGTGCAGCTGTTAAGTGCTCCTTAGATTGGATGGACTCATGTTTGGAAGCCCTGCGCCCACACACAAGGTCAGGCAGTCTGGGTGAGGCTCGAACTAACAGGGCACCAGAGCCCAGGCTGGCAACTTGGGGGTGGGGAACAGCAAGGCACTGTGCCTAGGGTGTCCCAGGCTCTGGGTGGGGTGTGTGCCTCTGGCCGACCTAGGAAGGCATGAGAGCCCCAATGTGCCCCTCATGGGGGCCTCCCAGGGTCAGGACAGGCCCCACACCTCCGCTCCTCCTCTGTCTGCACGGAGGTGCCCTGGTTTCGCCTGTTCTCAGCCCACAGGGCTGGCAGCCTCTCTGGAGACTCTGCCCTTTCCCTTCCCCAGGCGGCTGCTGACGTGAGCCCCTGGCGTGCTGCCAGCCTCCCTGCCTGTGAAGTAGGGCAGATGCAGAGAGTCTGCCAGACCTGGTAAGCAGGCAGCTCGGAGCCAGGCCAAGGAAAAGCCCTGCCAGGGTCTGGAAGGGAAGGGAGCAGGAGAGAGCTGGTCAACAAGGCTTTCTCTGCCCAAGTTCAAGGCTGTGCATACGGCTCACAGTACATACCCAGAGTCAGGAAACACTGTGCGTTTGACATGATTTCTGGCTGCTTCCAGCTGCCAAACCCAGTCCCCCACCACTACCCACTGTGCACCGGAATCTGGGGACTGACTGGATGGTGGGAAGGACACTGAGAGGGGGCTGTCTGTGGGCACTGGGGACAAAGCCAGAGGCCAGGAGGCCAGGCCAGGCCCTCTGGCCTCTTCCCACCCAAACACCCTTGCTTCTCAGGCTTGCATTGGAGAGACCTGTGCTGATTGGGTATGGGGTTCAGATATGCTCTTAAATCCACCAGAGTTCCCAGCCAGACAAGCCCACCACAGCAGCATGTCAGAAAAGCAGGGGACAAGATCCCTCCTTGTGATAGCCATTCATCTTCTGTCCCCGTTGTTCCATCTCCTGACCCCTTTACAACAGAGCGCAGGGGCCTTTGTGTCCCCTCCTCTTGAGGACAGTTGGGTCGCTGGGCTGTAAAAGCAGAAGCTGCCTGAACAGGACCACACCTTACGGTTTTCTAAATTCAGTGAGGGCCTCCCGGCAGCGGGCAAAGCAGGACTTAGAAGGAGAGAAGGCAGGTGACTGGGGAAGAGAATTGTTCAAGGCTGGAAAGCGGAAGGAGACCTGGGGGGTGTGAGTAATCAGGATGCCCGAGGTAGGTGAGGAGCCTCCCAGGGCCCCAAACTTGATACGATCCCCACAGCCAAGTACAGCCGGGAAGCCTCAGAGACCCACAGAGGGTCGCTCAAACCCCAGATCAGTAGTGAGAGGAGGGCAGGGTACACAGCCAGGAGCCTTCCTTGATGGTCTGCTTCAGATTCCTGAAACCTCTGCGGGACTTCAGTGGTTGGAGCAGAGTGACCCAGGGAGTGGAGGGAGTTTTAGTGATGGTTCAGCTGGAATGTCCTTCCAATCTGGCAGGACGGGGACAAAATTCATGTCTGAAAAATAATCTGATGTGATGTTTCACACACCAGGTTTTGAAACCAAGTTCCCACCTGCTTGACAGCTCAGTAACAAGCACCCCAGCAAACCCAGAGAGGGACTACAGCTTCACTGCTTCTGGGCTCTGCGGCCTCAGGCCTTAAGTAACTGAAGCTCTCAGCCCCAGTGTCCTCCCTGTGAAGCAGTGCTGAGAGGCCCTGCCTGGGCAGGGGCATGTGAAGACGCAAGAAGATGGTGCTTGTGGGAGCCTAGCACAGTGCCTGGTACAGAGCATACACCCAGGATGGGGTAACCACTGTCACCTGGTGTTTGCTTTTTTTTTTTACTTTCTCTGCTGACCTGTGCCTAATATGGACACTGAAGTACTAGAGAGGTCCCCCCAAAACCACTTCCTAATCCAATATGCACACACCCCTGTTTCTCAACTCCTCCTTCCCCTCCTGCAGCACGTCAGGGCCAGAAGGAGCTCAGAGGTTGTCTAGCCAATGTCCTCTTTTCTCACAGAGGGAAACAGAGGCCCAGAAAGGGAAGGAACTGGCCCAAGAGCGGAGAGCTCCCGGTCTGCGGCCCTTCCCTGCTCCCACCCCATCGGTCGTGCCTTTCCTCTTCTCTCCCACTGTCCATACCACCCAGTGGAGGGCTCCCAGGGCAAGTGTCAGTGCTTGGGGAAATCTCGTCCTCCTCTGCTTAGGGAAGCCCAGGAGTCAGCTGGAGGCCCACTTCACTATGGACCCTCTGAGGGACCTTACCAGGTCCTCCTCAGTCTGCTGGTCCCCTGGGGTGTTGCTGGGATGTGGATGGACATAGCTTTGGAATGCTGGTCTCCCTCCCTGCCCTCTGCACCCCGACCCAAGTTCACAGATCTTGCCTTCAAGCCTCACTGTTTGCCTGGAAGGTGCAGCATGAAGTCCCACATCCCGGGGACAGCGGGGCTCTCTGGCAGGTCCTGCTTCTCTGCTTCTCATCTCTCTGAGAACCCCTGAGGTACTTTACCTGGCCCGTGGGCTTTGGCCAGGAAGACTTGGTAAAGACTTCTGGCATCAAAGCTGGAGGTAGGGTAGTGCTTTTCCTGACCTCTGATTTGTCTCTCATTTTCCCCCTCCATAAGCTCTTGGGAAAGTGGAGAAGCCAGTTAGCTGAGCTCCATTTCCTATCTGGAGCTAAGAGCAAATACTAATTGTCTGTAAGAGGCCCCCTTCTGCCAGCAGAGGCCCAGCAGACAAGCCACACACAGGAGACAAAGCCCTCCTGTCCCACAGCTTTCCTCTGGGGACCCTACTCAGTAGCTCTGTGTCTCCACTGGCTGTTAAGAGAGCCAGTTGGCTGTGTGAGCGGCCCAGTGGCTGGACTGCACTCACGGGCTCCTCTGTTGCTTCCCTGGAGGCTGGTGCTGCGTGCCACCCTAACATGCCTAACCCCTAGCAGGGTACCTGACACATGGCAAGCACCGGATGAATAAGCTTGCTTCCGCCAACAAGCCAAGCAGCTGTTTGAAGTCAATACCCATCTCGGTCAAGGCTGTGACCCAGCCCTGTCCTTCAAGGAAATGCCCAAACCATGGCTTCTCCAGCTTTTCAGCTAGAACTGCTCAGTGACAGAGGAGCATGAGTATGAATATGAGTATGTAAGAAAATCAGCTCTGCTCCATAGCAGAGAGGGGAGTTTTGTTTTGTGTTCTTAAAATCTCACGTTTGGTAATAAAGTAATATGAACTTTGCACTTAATATATCTGGGCTTATACTTCTGTGACCATTATAGGATATCATTTTCTCTTCCTGAGATCCTTGAGCAAAATTGAAACTTCACGAGGACAGCCATGAAGTGCTGTGGCTTTGGGAACCCCAGGATCCAGCATCAGCCTACGTTATTACATAGGAAACACTTTCAGGCCTCACAGTCTCCCATGAGTAATGACAGGCTCATTTTCCCTCTGCCTTTGAACAGTGATTCCTAATACTGTGGAGAGCAGGGAGCTCTCTGAGAATGTGAGCTATGCCCTCTCTCCCGAGAAACTGCAAAGAAATACATAAACTCAATATTTTGTACACAAACAACATTTTGCGCCTATCTGCAGGGAGTTCAAAACTAACATCTGCCCTAAAAACCCTGCCTCAGTCTATCTCCCTTGGGTCCCACGCCTCCCAACACCACTGTGATAGAGAGAAACTGTTACCCAAGAGGTTGCAATTGTGTCTCATGGAGGAGGAGAGCGTTGGGGTACTGCCATCAGGGGTGGGCAGGTGAGGACTGCCAAGACTCGGCTGCATTAGGGAGATTTTGAGCCAATAAGAGAAAGAGCTCTTACAGGTCAGGAGCTTAGATTCGGGGGCCTGTCACCCTGCCCTAGGAGTCTTTGAATCAAGATCAATCCTTTATTCCAGAACAGCTAACCCAGAGGGGCCCATCCAGTGGCCAGGACCTACCAGGCCCCTGTTCGCCACTGTTCTCACCAGACATATTTCTCCTTTTCCTTTCTTTCCTTTGTCACCCCTTCTCCCCTCCCCTTCCTGGTGGCCCTCTTTCTCCTTTTTTCTCTCCTCTGGCTTTGACTTACTCCAGTAAATGGCATTACCAGATTCCAAATTGGAGGATCCAGAGCTTCTCAACGCCCGAGTTAGATGCTGCTGAGCCCAGGGGCAGCCAGATGGCACGGGTGACCTCAGAAGGTGCTCATCACCAGGAGTCTAGCTCCCAAGTCCCAGAAACCCAAACACTCATAGAAAACACCAAGAAACCCAAGAAAATTGATCACATCAAAGATGTGCCACTCTAGATAAAAGCCTGCAAAGCCATCGAGAACTGGCATTCCTTGGTATCACTGGTCGGATGAGGTATGGTGAAGTGCCCAGGCCCACCGCTTCCTCCAATGAGACCTTTTCCTCACCTTGTAGGACGGGGTCTCTGTGCCCAGGTTCTCCGCCTGCACGACAATGTAGGCATGTAAGAAGTTGGAGGCAATCATATCTGGGACAAACGGTGTGTTCTCCTCTTGGAAGATGATGGCCACAATGTCATTCCCAATGTGTCTCTTTCTCTGGAGCTAAATAAAAAGTGTTGCATTGTTATAAGCCAGTTAGGAACATCCTGAGAACAGAATAGATCTACACCGGAAAATCCTCATTATTCTATCTTTATACATAAACTCTGGAACTCTGAGGCCTAGCTCTCCAGGGAGCTTTCAATCTTTAGAAGCTACCAAAAAGATAACAAGGGAGAAGCAGCCTAAGTTGTTAGGTAGAGGCCAGCAAGCCTCTCACTGAGCTCTAAGCATGCAGAGCCATGACTCAGGGCTCAGGGAGAAAAGTTCAAAGGCAAGTGCCAGGTTCTGCCCTGGTAGAGCCCATAACTGAGCCAGAAGAGACACAAACACAGGTGAGGCCGCCTGAGAACACTAACAAAGCCACCAGCCAGCAACTGCTAAATCAGCTGCTGTGCATGAAGTGCCTGACACCCCAGGGGCACAGAAGAGGACAAAACCAGAAGCCAGAGGGTAATCTGAGAAGGCTTCCTGGAAGAGGAGATGGGGGTGGGGAGTGTAGGGGGTTGATGGAAATGTGAATAATCAGGGATCGGGGGAAAGATCATTCTATACCAAAAGGGGGGAAGAGCCATGTTTGGAGAAACACAGCCAAGCTGGTTTGGCAGAAATCCTGGGGGAGAGAAATCTCAGGATCCCAAACTGGGCCACATGCTACCAGAGGGGACCTCAATCCACAAGCACCTGCTGTGTGTCAGAAACCATGGGCGTGATTTCAAATGTTAAGGCCCTCCTGTATACTGAGTCCTGGTAGGTGCTTACTTACACATTTATTCCTTTATTAAGCACCAACTGCATGCAGGCACTCTTATGCAAATTGTCTAACTCCATACCCTTCACCCCATTTCTTGGGAAGAAAAATAAATATATAGTCAGTCCTTGCTGAGAGGCAAGCTCAGTACACCTCCCACTTAACATAGGTGACGCGGGTAGAACCAGGCACCTAGCAGCCCTCAGTCTCAGGAGACCGAATGGGAAATGTGGAGAGAAAACCTACTTTGGATACAAAAGGAATCCTGCTCCCATTTGTTTCTGGAACATTCAGTAGTTATTTTAGAGCCAAATCACAGTCTCATTTGCCAATTTCTTTTTTCCGTACGAAGCCAGGCATTATGTTTACAATATGACATCTGTGCTCCCTCCTCAGTTCCCTGCTCAAAAACGAATGGGTCAGAGGCTGGTGAAAGGCCTACTTTCCTTTCTCATTTTCCTAGAGACTGAAAAGCACGAATGGTCCAACAGCCAGGGCTCGGCTGCTGGCTGCTGGTTTCAGGGCTCAGTGAGAAAAGAGCCAGGCCCTGGCTCCCTGCCTGGGACACACAGCTGTCCAGAGTGGCCAGTGGGAGGGACAGCAGGAGACACTGGAAGGGGGTTCTCATCCAGGGCTGCAGGGTTGAGGTAAAGGTGCCTTCCTACTCACGGCATGTTTGCTGAGAGACTAGAAAAGTTGGGGGACATCTCATGCAACAAGCAACTTTGTGGTGCTGCTTGCACCTGGCAGCCTGCAGAGTGAGCAGCTGTGAGGCAGGAAGCCTGCCACAGCCGGGCATTGTACTGAGCCCTGCATTCAGAGCCTTATGTGATCCCCACAACAACCCTCTGATGTACATGATGTTATCCCCATCTTACAAATGAGAAAAATAAGGCTACAAGGCTAACCGGCTTGCCCAGAATCACATGTCCTGAGGTGGCAGAGCTGGCATCCAGCTGCCATTTGCAGACCACATCACATTCTCTTTACTGCTGCCCTACATGACTGGGGCACCAGGCTCTGCTCCCAGCTCTGCCACTAATCAACAGGGAAACAAGTGTTTTAACCATGCTGCACTGCAATTTCCCCTTTGGTCACAATGGAATATCTACAAACCCTGTCCTTGGGTCCTGCACAGAGTGGCTGGTGGGTGACACAGTGCAACACAACAGGCTCTGATGAGAAGACATAGCCTTTTGATTATGAAGACGGGGAGGGGAGCCGCAGCCTGTCAGGTAGATCAGACCAGAAGGAGACTTTCACCTCCCACGCCCCGGGCTCCCAAGCCCTCCTGAACTAGGTTACCTGCTGGGTGTCTCCCTCCGTAAATGGCAGCTTTGTGGAGACATGAAACATGATCTCCCTGTCCCGGAATATCGTGTACACCGATTCCACCCCAGTCTGTCCATGGGTCACATCCAGGCCTCCTCGGAAACTGTCAGTAAAACCAGGCAAATGCCAGAGAGAGAGAGAGAGTGAGGGGAAGTGGGCAACTTGGTGCAACCTTCCCTAAGGTTGTAGAAGCGGAAGGGCAAATGAGAAGACGTGGGTGAGCTGGGGGCACAGGGATCAGGCCATGGGAATGCAGGGAAGTCTGCTCTTCTGAGCAGGCAAGTCCTGGCATTCCAATCATCAGTCTGTTCTCTAAAAGACAAAGGCAGGACCTCCATTTTTTAAGCCTTGGCAGAGTCCGCTCCACACCATATGGCTGTCCACCCACAATCCCAGACAAATGCCATCCCAGGCACCAGTGGCCCCCAACGCTGGACATAAGCCTTTGCTCTATGCAAGGCCATGTGCAAGTCCTCAGCCCAGAGCCAGGACAACCATCCCTCCAGGTTGATGGCAGTAAGCCCTACAGGAGCAGCAGGGTCAGCAGAAGATGCTTGACTTCCACCCAACCAGTCCCTATGCAGAGGCCCAACCACGGCAGCAACAAGCTTGGAGGCATCTAAGGAGGTCTCTTTTCTGTGTATCTCAGGAGAGGGAAGTACTAAGGAGCAGGTGGGCTTCCGAGAGCTGCTCCTCCTTCCTTTATAGAAGCACAGCTGCCACCTGTGGATCATATTCTACAGCAAGAGGAGAAGGATGCAAGTTCCTTTAAGAAAAATGATATAAAGTAGACCCTTGACATCATTCAGTCCCCCAAGCACTGTAATACAAGCCAAACAAATGTGCTCAGCCCAGCATGGAGGAAAGCACACTGGGAGTCAGGCGCTCCAGGTTCTAGACCCGCTTCTGCCACTAATCCAGCACTCAACCTTAGGCATATCACTCCATCTTTCTAGGTCTCAACTTCCTTTCTCTATACAATAAAGGCACAGGAATACATGATCTCTGGGTTGGGGTCCTTCCCAGTTTTAATGTACTTTGTCTCATCTATTCTAAGACACATCATTTTTTCACATCTTACTATCTCTGAAATCATGCATCTTATCATGAAGGCATCTCAGAGTCAGTGGAAGGAGTTATACTAAGAACAAGAACAATAATGGCTACCAGTGCCAAGTCTGTGTGTGGCACTAGCTTAGGTGCTTCACATGCATTCTTTTTTAAGACCTCAGCAACCTTGTGTGGTCAGTGTTATGTTTATCTCCCTTTTTACAGATAAAGAAACTGAGGCTTTCAGAGGATAAGTCACTTGTTCAAAGCCAGACCTACTGAATGGAGGAGATAGGATTTTAACCCATGTGTGACTGACTCCAGACAGTAGTGATGGCCTTGAAGGGAAGAAAACTGAGGCAGGGCAGGGGGAGAAAAAAAGAGAGAGAAGGAAGCAGAGGGAAAGTGATTATTGAAAACCAACTACATGCGAGGCAAAGAGCTAGGTGCTTTCACAGACATTAGGAGATACTATAAATCTGGCTTCTGGAGTGGGTTACTCTGGGAGCTCAACCATGTACACACAATAAGCTGGCCAGGTCTGAAGGTCCTTCCCAAATGTTGCCTTTGTCAAGCAAAAGCTAGAGTTTTCTAAGCAACAGACCCAATCTTCTCTCTGCCCACTTAGAGAGCAATAGACGGTTGCGTAGATTCCTGCCAGTGGGGAGGGGATAACTGTATTTTCACCAACTCCCAATTACCCTTTGGGGTCATTTCTTCCCAAACTGCACAGGGCCCTCTCTTCCCTGAATGCCAGGCAGGTGAGTAACAGAGAAGATGGGTTCACTTCACTCTCAGCCTAAGCCAAATGTAATTAGGAAGACAAATCTGAAGTACAGCTATTTCATCATGCATCCTAAGATCAAATGTCAGTGCCTTTCAGATAATCAGCCATTCTGGATTTTCCCCTGTACCACAGTTTCCTTAGGAATTCAGGTGAGTGTTGTTTACTTGCTGAAAAACAATCCCACATTCCTGTGTGTGTTTTTAACTCCCACATGCCCTCCCTGAAACTCACTGTCACCCTTTACCTTCTTCTAGGACCTCACTGATGAGAAGAGAGTCATTGCTTGGCTAAAACCTACCCTTTGAAGTCCTGCAGTGTGATTGTGTCCCCCAGCAGGTCCAAGAACTCCTGGAAAGCTGGGCTCTCCTCATTGTTCCCAAACAACTCCTCCTCCAGTGTCTGAAAAAGAAACAGCACCAGGGGGGGCAGGAGTTAGAAAAAGCCTTCTTGGTGTCAAGGGAAGGAATATGGTTGTCTGGATACCTGATCCTTTTCTTCCTTTCTCCTATCCCCCAACACATTCAACCATCCAGTTGAGGCTCTGTCCTCAACTGGAGGAAGGACTTAAAGAATCTCACTCAACAGAGCAGGATTTTTGGAGCTGGCTAATGAGGACTTTCTATTTGAATAAGGGTTGTTTTTCACAAAAGCAAAGCTGAAGCAGAGTTCTTAGACCTAATAACAAAACCCAGTGAATAAATGAAAAACAAGTAATTGGATTTCTGAAAAAGGGCTAATACCTAGAATATTTAAAGAACACTCAAAACTCAATAATAATCAAAACCACAACGAGATACTACTTCACATCCACTGGATGGCTATAATCAAAAAGAAAGACAACAAGAAGTGTTGATGAGGATATGGAAAAATCAGATCCCATATACACTTCTGGTGGGAATGTAAAATGGTGCCATCTCTTTGGAAAATAGTCTGGCAGTCCCTCAAAATGCTATGTAAAGAGTTACCATATGATCCAGCAATTCCACCTTTAAGAATATGCTCAAGAGAAATGAAAACATAAGTCCACACAAAACTTAAACACCAATGTTCATAGCAGCATTACTCATAATAGCCCAAAAGTAGAAGCAACCAAAATGTCTACCAACTGACAAATGGATAAGCAAAATGTGGTATATCCATACAATGGAATATAATTTGGCCATAAAAAGGAATGCAGTACTGATTCATGCTGTAATATGGATGAGCCCTGAAAACATTATGCTAAGTAAAAGCTAGACATAAAAGCCCACACATTATGATTCCATTTATATAAAATGTCCAGAACAAGGAAATCCACATATAGAAAGATAAGAGGTTGACAGGAGCTATACAGGGTAGTGATGGGAAGTGACTGCTAATAGGCATGGAGTTTCTTTTGAGGGTGATGAAAACTTTCTGGAGTTAGTGCTAATAGTTGCACAACTCCGTGAATGTACTATAGACCACAGAATTGTGTACTATATTGAGGTATAACTCACATATCATGGTCTGCCATAAAAAATTTGAACAGTAAAAAAAAATATCCAATTAGAAAATGGTTAAAAAACATGAACAGTCACTTCACCCAAGAGGATATACTGAAGACATGAAAATTTGTTCAACATCATTAGCCACAAGAGAAATGCAAGTTAAAACCATAATGAGATATCACTATACATCTATTGAATAAAGTAAAAAATAGTAACAACACCAAATGCTAGCAATGATGTAGAGAAAACAGATCACTCATACATTTGCTGGTAGAAATATAAAATGCAACCACCACTCTAGAAAACAGTTTGGCAGCTTCTTACAAAACTAAACATGTAATTGCCATATAACCCAGCAACTGTACTCCTAAGCATTCATCCCAGAGAGATGAAAACTTATGGTCACAATAAAACCTGTATATAAATGTTCATAGCAGCTTTACTGATAACACCCCAAAACTGGAAACAACCCAGAAGTCCCTCAATGGGTGAACAGCTAAACAGACAGTAGTATAGCCACACAATGGAATACTACTCAGCCATAAAAAGGAAAGAACTATTGATACACTCAAGAACTTGGAAGAATCTTGCTGAGTGGAAAAAAGCCAATCTACAAAGGTTATATACTGTATGATTTCATTTACATAATATTCTTTTAATGTCAAAGTTTAGAAATCAGAGAACACATTTGTGGTTGCCAGAGGTTAGGGACTGGAGGGGGTAAGGGACATGGAGGAGGGATGCTGGCATGGTTATAAAAGGGCAGTACAGGGGATCCTTGTGGTGGTAGACTTCTGCATCTTTTTTTTTTTGGTATCATTAATATACAATTACATGAGCAACACTGTGGTTACTAGATTCCCCCCATTATCAAGTCCTCACCACATACCCCATTACAGTCACTGTCCATCAGTGTAATAAGATGCTATAGAATCACTACTTGTCTTCACTGTGCTATACAGCCTTCCCCGTGCCCCCCCGACTACATTATGTATACTAATTGTCATGCCCCTTATTCCCTTTCTCCCTCCCTTCCCACCCACCCACACCCAGTCCCTTTCCCTTTGGCAACTGTTAATCCATTCTTGGGTTCTGTGAGTCTGCTGCTGTTTCGTTCCTTCAGTATTTTCTTTGTTCTTATACTCCACAGATGAGTGAAATCATTTGGTACTTGTCTTTCTCGCCTGGCTTATTTCACTGAGCATAATACCCTCCAGCTCCATCCATGTTGTTGCAAATGGTAGGATTTGTTTTCTTCTTATAGCTGAATAATATTCCATTGTGTATATGTACCACATCTTCTTTATTCATTCATCTACTGATGGACACTTAGGTTGCTTCCATTTCTTGGCTATTGTAAATAGTGCTGCAATAAACATAGGGGTGCATATGTCTTTTTGAAACTGAGCTCCTGCATTCTTAGGGTAAATTCCTAGGAGGACTTCTGCATTTTGACTGTAGAACCTACATACATGATAAAATTACATGCAATTAAATACACACACACACACACACACATACACACACACGCCACAAATGAGTGCATGTAAAATGGGGAAGTCTGAATAAGATTTGCAGATTGTATCAATGTCAGTACCCTGTCTCCAATATTGTGCTGTAAATTTATAAGACATTACCTTTGGGGGAAACTGGATAAAGAGGATACAAGATCTCTCTGCATTATTTCTTACAACTGCATGTAAATCTACAAATATCTAAAAATAAAAAGGTTAATAATTTTTGAAAACTAGGTAACTACTGAAAACAGTAGTAAGCTCTGCAGTGTGGCAGGCTTAAAACTATGCCTGATCAACAGGCTCTGCCCCCAATGGCAGGATCTGCAAACTGCTGAAGGCTCTGCAAACATCTGTATATGGCCACAAAAGCTGCAGATGCTTCAAGGACACTCGTGCATCTTAAGGTCTATGCAATCACTTCAAGGAGAAGGTATCAAATAGATGATTCTTCAAACCTCCTTAACACCTGCTTTATTAAAAAAAAGAGTAAGCCTCAGGTTCTGAGGGGCCAGCAACTACCTAGACTTCAATAACTTCATTGTGTTTTTTATAGTATTTCTCTTTAGAACTACCTTCATTTCATGCAAGTGATACTGATTTTCCAATTAGAGTAGTGATACAAATTTTCCTTTAAAGAATGCATTTAAGGTGGAAAAAAATTTTTAAGAAAATATTAAGTAGTTAATAGTATAGGTATGATAAAAAGTCTAACAGTGGCATACAGTAGAGTCACTTGGATGTGGTTTGGGAATGTCTGAAGTATGGTAAATACTGCTCTCTAGCAGGGTCAGCAAATTACAGCTCATGGGCCAAGTCTGGCCTGCCGCCTGATTTTATAAATAAAGTTTAATTGGAACACAACCAGGCCAATTACTTTAGTATTATCTATGGCTGCTCTTACACTGCAGAGATAGGGTTAAGTCATTAGAACAGAGATGGTATGGCCCATAAAGTCTAAAATATTTTACTATCTGGCCCTTTACAGAAAAAGTTTGCTGATCCCTGATCTATAGCATGCTGCAAAGGCATGGCAACTCAAGCCCAGTGTACTGTTTAGTTCAGGTCATGAGGCCAGAATGCAGAACAGCTGCTTCCAGGCAACACACATCTTCTACTGGGAAAACACTGAGTTTATGCTCTGGGACTCCGACTTACCCCCAGCCTGGGATTAGCAGTCTTTACTCTTATACTGAGATTGACCATTCACGCAGGGAGGGACTTTCAATCATCACTGTATCACCCACAGTGTTTATCACAGAGCCTGACCAACAGGAGAGTTAGGTGGAGCTTACTTATATCCTAAGACCAGCATAGAGCTTTTGGGCAACAAATGTTCATATTACTCGCCCAACCCCCGCCCCAGATGTAGGCTTGCAAAACAACAATCTGCCCAGTTTTTAAAAAAACAGACTTATCACCCTGTGCATCCCCACCTTGCCTCAGCAACATCAGGTACATAAACAACACACAGACTCCCTCTCAGAGGTAGATGGTTAATGTTCAGTAATTATACCTTTGTCGGAACATTGGGTTGTAATCACCTTATGAGATCTGCTTTGGTAAACAGCACAAGAAAAGAGCTTTAATTAGGGGGGTTATATTAGCAGAGCCGTACAAAATAAAAATGCAGTATGTGAAAATAATTAGAGTGGCTACATGAATAATCTCCCTTAAATTATAAGATTCATCTGTGTTGGTGTTTTAGCTCCTAAACCCTTCACTTAATTACAGTATTTCTGAGTGAACATATGTCTCTTGTGGTCTAATATCTTCAGACAAGGAAGTCATCTATCGTGTAGCCAAGAAAGACCCTGTCACGCAAAAAAAAAAAAAAACAGACAATATTAAAAAATACTATTGACCTACCATTAGAAGAGCCAAAATTTTCATTCATTCATTAATCACATAACAAAAAATTACAAGTGTACTTATATAAAGTCACCATGCTAGGCTCTTGCATCCAAGAGCACAAAGATGAAATGGGTATGGAGCCTTCTTTCATACAACCTAGGTAAGTAAACATTAGTGTGTGCAGCAGACCACTTCTAAGGACATTGATAAATGTTCACGGTAGGAAAGTTGCAAAGTTTGTGGTCAAAAAGTATGGGAAACACAAAAAGTATGGGTTCAAGAAAATTATGAAGAGTTCTTTAAGCCTTTCAAATATTCCCACACAACTGACCCCCGCCTCCCCTGCCCAAGTCATTTGTTCACAGAGTACCTCACCAGCTTGGTGTTTCATGAAACGCACTTTGAAAAACATTCTGGTCAACTAACTCCAAAGCAGCATGTAAGTGCTTCAAGAGACAGAGGAGAGTGAACAGTGGTGTACGAGTACATTTTTTTAACAACCAGCTCTCCCAAGAGAAAAAAAACAGAAACCCTGGTGTTGGCCAATTTCCATGGTGTAAATACTTCCACCATGGTTACATGATGTAACCTCTGTGTCCCTAAACACAGAGCTGGGAAGAGATGCACACGACTGGCTCTGGCCATCCCAGCTGGGAGAACAGTGGGCAGGGAGAAAGTAGCTTTGCTAATCCATTCCCACTACCGGGTCTGATCTTTCTTGTGACCAACAGCCCATATAGTTCAATATAAACTGAGGGAAGAACTAGAATTTATACACAAAAAATATTTACTATTTAAAGGATTACTATTACTTTTAAAGGATTAGTTTACTTTTAAGGATTACTATTACTATTACTATTTAAAGGATTTGCAGGCCTTTCTGTGTGGAGTAGCCCCCTTACAGATTTTTGCCACATCCAGACTGATTCACATTTGATGTGATCACTGTATTCAGGCTGTTTAAGAACCTACTGCAGGGCTCCTGTGCTTGGAGGGGGGGCAAAAGGGTCCCTGGTGAGAAACCACAGGATACAGTAACCAGTGTGCATTCGTGGTGCTCACCTGCCTGGCCTTCTGATAAATGACCCCAAATTTGAATGTGTTGTTCACATCATGTTCATCATAGGACACAATCATCTGGGAGGCCTGGAGGATGTGCAGAGAGAAAAATTAGATTATTTATTAACTTGGAGGCAAACAGGGAAGCAAATGGAAGGGGAAGCACCCATTTCAGTAGCAAACATGCCTCCCCCCTCCCCCTTGACCCGCCAATATGAGACACCCACACATGTGGAGGAAAAGAAAGGATGAAGTCAAGCAGATAGTCAGGATTGGCTCTAAGAGTCTCAGTTAGTTTCCCCAGGAGGGGCCACATCTGGGTCATCCATCCCATTCCCATCGGACATGCCTGGGCACAAAGGGAGACCAGCAGGACTCAAGGAACTGACTTCACCCCAGTGTCTTATCTGTGGTGTAAAAAGTGAAGCCAGTAGCCCAGTACTGGTCGGTGAGGACAGTGCTAGCTTTAATCCCACCTCTACTCAGCAGTATGATTTGAGCATGGCACTGCTCCTGCCCAGATTCCAATCCCCTTTACCCATAAAAGGAGAGGTTTCTCAGGAGACCCCTCTAAGGAGGGACATACCTTAATACAATTCGCAAAGAAAAAAAAAAAGAAAGAAAACCTGACCACTGGTTCTATCCAATTGTCTATTGTGCTTCAACAGTTGGTTTATCCAGGGCTCAGAGACACTAAATTCTAATTTTGAATTCGCTGCTTTTACCTATGTAGCTTGAGTGAGCCACTTAACTTCCGTGGGCCTCAGTTTCCTCATCTGTTAAATGGAGATGTGTGGTCATGAAGATTCACCAAGACCAGGCACACGATGGGCTAAGCACAGCGCAGCAACTAAGGGCACCATCGTTCTAGGTGACCCTCCAGAAAGATCAGGGCTGAACCAGTTTGTTAAGAAAGAAAAGATCGGAGTGCTACTGGGGTATCCTCTGCAATTAAAAAGGAGGGATCTCACCACAGGTTATGCAACAGGGAGAACAAACCCGGCACAACCTGTTGGCAGGAATATGTGGGCCATGTCAGGCTACCATCGTTACATGTCTCTGCTCCCCTCCAACCCTGGCAGAGCACCGCTGTCCCTCCTGGGGACAGCTGCCTGCCAGGGAAGAGGCACCCTGCCATGGAGACCTTCCAAAGAACATCCTAAACTCTTAATTTTAAAAACACACACACACACATCTCAGCCAGATTAACATCCCCGCCGGGCTAAACAGTCCTTCAAATATAGAAAACATGAAAATACAGCTGCTCTTCCATTATTACCAGAGCCAGAGGCTTTCTAGGCTATGGAGAGAACTATGCAAATGAGCATCACTGGGCTCCCCCAGTGGATATGATTTGACAACAAAATTTGCCAAACTTGTAGTTAAAGTGGGCCTTTATGACAGGGTTTTCATGTTTGGTTAAACCTCACTCATTCAGCTTTAATCACGAAGGGGAGGGCAGTGAGAATGACAGACAACACTCCGTGGAGTGCAGCATATTACTGGTAAGTGCCTAAAGGGGCTCAAAGGGCTAACCAGCCAGGGCTGGGCAAGGAAGGCCTCTGGCACACGCTCTGTGCAGGAGAGAACAGAGCCATTAGCTCAGCCACGCACAGGGATAAACAGAACATCATGGCCAGTCGTAAACATTCCAGGCACTTGTTCCAGGGGCTTCTGGGGTCCCAACCAGGACAGGGCCTATCTTCCCCACCAAACATTTCCTTTAATGGCTCCTAGTGGTCAGAGTTGGGGCTCAGAAAATGGACTGAACCAGGTCCCCCACAGGCCTCAGCTGCCAGTGTGGTCCCACAAAAGCCCAGAAGCACAGGCCAGCTTGCATTTTCCCTCTCTCCAGACCCCACTGGCTCAGTGCACTGGGTCTTCCTGTGGCCAGTTTAAAGCAATTCTGAGTGACTGAAGTCCTGTCAAGCCATAACAGTTCTTGAGTGGGATTGCTGGTTTGCTTGGTTATTATTGCTCTTCTCCCCATAGCCCACACCCGAACTGGGGTCGATCAAGATCAGGCCAATCCTACAGAAACCAGTAGAGAACCAGCCAATTTATTAAGTAGGGCTGAGCAGGGGCTTGTAATGCCTCAGCACTGCAGTGACATTGGCAGTGGGCAGCCGAGGTCTGGGCTTTTATTTCTTAGTGGGGTTCTGCTCTCTGCCCCCCTCACCCCTCCATGAAGGCAGACCAGCAGACCCATCTACACAAGCCCCCAGCTAGGTAGAATCACTCCCCACCCCAGAACTGGCCTCAGGGAGGTACAACAGGGTAAGGTGGAGAAGCTACAACATTGTTACACCTCTGCTGCCTCCACAACACTCAGGACCAATTCGCGGGGGCTGGGGGGCAGCAGTGCAGAGACCCTGGCATGGCCAAGGATGGGTTCCAGTAGACCAGTCTGTGAAGGTGTGGGCAGGGAGAGAGGGAGACATGGAGGTCTACTGGAGACCAGGACAAAACCCCACCAAGATGCAAACAAATCCCCACAAAGCCACAGGTATGCCAATCTGTGCCATGCTGCAGAGCCCTGGGGAAGGGGGAGAGGTAAAGATCCTCACCTTGGGGTACAGGACAGGGTTGAATTTCAGCCCTACCGCATCATCACAGAAAGCCTAAGCAAGGAGAGAGAAACACAGTTCACGAACCATGGCCATGGAGAGCATGGGCTAAAGAAGACCCCTTCCCCCAGGGTACAGTTTTTACCTTTGCAATCTGAGGGACACTAGGCAACTTGCTCAGTCCAGCCAAGGGGATCCGCTCATGCACCGTCTTCACTCTGGACCTGCACACGTGGGAGAGGGTGAGAAAAGAATGTTCCCAAGAAAGAGAGTCAATCAGGAAGGTAGCTGAGATTATGCTAGACCATGAGGTACACTTGCTTCGTGTCTCCCCAGGGTCAGTCTGCTTCATTTCACCCAACCCACACACTGGGCGCCACTCTGAAATTGTGGGAAAAAGGAATCTGCTTTAGGTATCCCAGGGAAGGTGGATACTTAAAGAACCTGCTAGGTAGAGCTGTCTGCAACTGAGATGCAGGAAATGCAAATAGTCACCTTCAAGTTCACTGTTATTCTTATGGTTTGTTTGTGGGGCTTTTGTGTTCTCCCAAAGAACTGGGCACAGCTTCTGGACATACTTGGATTCTCACAAGCAGTTAAACCTTTATGAGAAGAAAATCCAGTATTTGAAAATCTGAATTTATTCAAAATATAAATGGGATGAAAGCTGCTTTATAAAGGGATTCACCAGAAGACTAAATTTAGCCTGTTCTCCTGATTCATTCAGCACATTATGAAAGTGTTGAATTTTACTGAATGCTTTTCTGCATCTGCTGAGATAATCATATGGTTTTTAATCCGTTAACCTGCTAGATTACATCTCTGTGGAGCCATCTTTTCATTCCACGGGTAAAACTCCACTCGTTTATGATGTATTATTCTTTTCATATACTGCTGAATTTAACTTGTTAAAATTTAGAGTTTCACGATTATGTTGAGTAGCAACATTTACCTATTTTTCTTATTTTCTTATACTTTCCTTGTCAGGTTTTGCAACCAAGGTGTTATTTCAGCCTCAGAAAATTGTTGGGGAGCTTCTCATCCTTTGATATAGTTTGTATACCTTGGGGATTTTCTGTGCCTCAAAGGTTTTCTAAGACTCATCTCTAAGATCTCTGGGTCTGCTGTGCTTTGTGGGAGGGTACCTTTAGCTACCAATTCAGTAGTCTTTAATGGTAACTATTTAGGTTTATTTCTCCTTATTGAGTCAATTTTGGTAATTTTTGCCTCTAAAATTATCCATCAAGTGCCCTGATATAAAGTTGGTTTTGGTATTCTTTTCGGACTTGCTCTCTACCTTCCTTAATTGCTGTTATTACTGCTTTCCTTAATTAGTCTTTGATGGGAAGATATCTATTTCATTCATCTTTTCAAAGAAATAGCTTTGGGTTTAACTGTCTCTGTTCTTTTTTATTTTTGCTCTCTACTTCACTAGCTTATTCTTATCTGTTTTTCTTTCCTTCCTTCTATTTTTTTTTCCACACTATTCTTTTTCTAACTTCCTGACCTGCATGCTTGCACAGTTCATCTTCTTTTTTACAAATGCTTGTAAAACTATACATCTTTCTCTAAGTACCACTTTAACTGTATCCCACACATTGACAGGTAGTATTTTCATTGTCATTTAGTCCTAATATTTTGTCAGTTCTTCTGTGATTCCTTCTTTAGCCCATGAGTTATTTAAAGGGCTTTCTTTTCTTTGTTGTTTTATTTCCAAATGAATGAGTTTTTCCCTTCCATATTGCAATTGTTGATTTCTAATTTAATTTTCTTATATTCAGGGAACATAATCCATATGATATTGCTTATTTGCAATTTGTTGACTTAATATATATACTTTTTTTCCCCATCTTCCACATGGGCTTGAAAAGAATTTGTTCTTGAGTTCAGGAATGTGTGTTACGAGATCAACTTTATTAAGTGTATTGTTCAAAACTGCATCCTCAATTGTTCGTCTGGTTGGTCTATCAGTATCTGAGAGATGTTATTGAAATCCACCACTGTAACTGAGGATTTGTCTACTTCTCCTTATATTCCTATCCATTTTTACATTTTTAAATTCAAGACTATGTTATTAACTGAAGTTCATGACTGTTAGATGTTCTGGGTGGACTGTTCTCTTTATCATCGTGTAGGCTAAGGCCTCTGAAGGGTCCAGTAAAAGGCATCTTTCCCTGCCCAGGCTGAGAACAAATTCAGACATGAAAAAAAAGTTAAGAGTAAGGCAGCGGAAGGCAAAAGAAGTACTTTGTTACTGAAAAAGACCCCAGAACAAAGCCTGCAGATTACTGTGAAGATGAAACGGGCCTTCTAACTAAACCCTAGAATTACCTACCCAGTGACAGGCAGTGCTGGGCAGGGGCAAGCCTCCCCTCATGGGGTCTGCTCAGATGGACTTACAGCACCGGGGTGACAGGGAACGCCCCAGGGTGGCCAGCTGCCAAGAGGGAAAGGGGGAAGCACAGGGCTACATATGTCAAGTTCTTGCTTCCAAATTCACCTATCAGAGAGGGCAAAGGGAGCACGGGTGCCACACAGAAGTATTCCCTCCACTCAACAGGAACTCCCATCAAGAGTGGGGAAGTATTTCCAAGTTACGAAGCACACTCTCTTTATCCCCAGCTAACGCCCTCTTCCTGAAATTCTCTTTTATCTGATATTAATGTTGCTACACCAGCTTTCTTGGTTACTATTTTCCTAGCATAACTTTTTCCATTTCTTTATTTTAAATATTTCCACATTGTTTTTCTTTAGCTACATCTCTTATAAGGAGAATATATTTTTAGCCCAATCTGATACTCTGACATTTTCATAGGCTAACTTAATTTATTTATACTTACTGTGTTTCCTATTACCCTGTGTTTCCTTTCCTTTTTTCCCCTCCTTTCCTGTCTTCAGTTTAAATCAATTTTTTTAATTCTCTTTTTATCCTTCTGCTAGCTTAAGTGCTATAGGTTGTATTTCTAAACTTCCAATATACATATTTATATATATTTCCAACAAACTCTAAACTTACTTGCCGTCTCTCTCCTGAGAAGGGAAGGGAGAACAATTAACTACTGAACTCTTCCCTGCCTGCTGTCCTTCGTACTTTGTTTATAAATTTAGTTCAAACTTCCTCTTAAACACACAAAAAAGTACTTTTTTTCCAGTCAGTAATTAAATCAGCATTTTGACCTATTTCTTGCCACTTCTTTTTTTTTTGAGAGGGCATCTCTCATATTTATTGATCAAATGGTTGTTAACAACAATAAAATTCCGTATAGGGGAGTCAATGCTCAATGCACAATCATTAATCCATCTCAAGCCTAATTCTCGTCAGTCTCCAATCTTCTGAAGCATAATGAACAAGTTCTTACATGGTGAACAAATTCTTACATAGTGAATAA